ATTTTATGATTTTGCTGCATCTGCATGGCATTAAACTTTGAGCTGGAGTAAAACTAACCCGGGAATGGAAGCCTTTCCTCCCGCTAACCCAACCTCTTCCCATGATAGGAGGAGCTGATCAACCATCCTGGTCGGGTTGCTCGGTCAAAATGAAAATGTGCGGCCTGGCAGTCTTTTCTTTTGACTTGAATTGCCCCTGTGCACCCTAACTCTAAACAGATGGTGGCCGCTGTCAAGTAAGCGTGCGTTCTTCTACCGAGCATTGGATTGCGTACTACAATATTTTCCTTGCGACCTTTGGCCTACAATAATCGAGCATCGTTAGCAGTTCTACGACATATCCTATTGAACAAGCTAGGCTCCAAGAACATGTACATACATGTCCACGTACCGTACAGAGTATTTTCGTCAACAGGAACCTAAATCAGTAAGATGTGTGACACTAGCCTGGACCCATCTTTCCCTTGCAGTCTAATATAAATGGATATTAATGGCTCTATGCTCGCTAGTCTCCTCTCCCCCCATTGTGGAATCTAGATCTTTCCCCATCACAATGTGCATTGACCATTGTTGACAAGGCTCTCGCGTACGACTCTGCAGCGACATGCTTGCCCTCGCGATTTTACCCCTCCTACGTAATCATTCCAGGCAGTCTCGTAAAAATGGAGCCTGTTGACTTCGCTGTGCAAGGCAAGGGGTAGTTACGTGGAGGGTTGACGGCTTACTGCTGGCTCAGCTGTAAGCGCAGGATGTCATTCACAGCTCGGTACTGGCCGCGTCTATTACCTGCCGCGCTGCTGCTGATCGACACTGAACTCGGAGGGAGTTTCCACGGTACGAAACGAACCTTCACCTTCACCTCAACCAAGCCCCTCGTGTTTCCCTTTACGTTCCGGCAACGGAGGTCAGCCCTGGCCTCTTAGCTTGAGTGAGCTTTTGCGCGATTGAGTATTGATTGACAGAGCCCCTTGACGGCCTTGGTGGCAGATAGTGGAGGCGAATAGCTGACGATCATCTTCAGAGTGTTGACTTGACTTTGGTTGAAAAGCCGGTAGATGGGCCTGCGGGTGAATAGGATTTTGACTTTTGAGTTTTCTGCCGAAGCTTGCGAGAGAACAATTAATCAACTTTATTGTCTCCGGTTTCGTGCTGCCCGTCACCTCGTGCTGCGGTCCCTGTTTTGCTGGTGTTTCTTGTCGCATCCTTGCCAGTTTGCGACTTTTCTAGTTCGGGGACCCTGCGACATCAGAGTCGCGCATCAAGTGATAGGCATCGCACTATGTCTTTTAGAGCACGTCTGGCCTTGGACTTGACACATAGACTGTCGCAGTCGTTAGGCACCACGGAGTATCTGTAGTACGTGGGGAGTACTACTATATTTGGCGATCAGCCACGGATGCCTATGTCTTCAACACTGACCACCTTCCATCGCCAATTCCACATCCACATCCGCATTTCATCCACCTCCAATTTCCTTCCCGCGTGGTTAAGGTTAAAAACATGTCCACAATTTCTCGCCGACCGAGCGAAACCAGCTACATGTGTCGTCATGCCGAGCGGCGCTCGCATTCTTCCGGTTCGGCTATGAGCCTGTGGCTCACGCTAAACGCCATTGATGCCCGTTCGTGGAAGTTTCCATCGAAGCTCGCAGTTGAGGTAATCGGTTAGGCTTGCCGACGGGATCTGAGTCTCTCTTACCCCTTTTCTATTCCCCTTCATATTAAATTATTAACTTACTCCTACCTTTTCCCAGACCTGTAAGGTTCTGCCTTGAAACAGGCTGATCTCGTTGCTTTTGTCTGCGATATGCACCAGGTGCAGCTACTAGTAGACTACTTATACGTTACGGCTCCCGACACGCTAATGGATCTGCAACTACCTGAAAAGACAAGACTTTGAGAAGCAAAGATGATCGCCATCTGCAAAACGCAACCTGTGCCGCAACTGCAGTAGTCTGGCAACGTCACTGCGACTGATGGGATTTCCGCGCTAAGTGAGGCATATCCTTTGTAGTTGGAAAACGCAGCAGGTGCGGAGTAGAGGGTGGACGGAGGGAACCAAATCAACAGGATCATGTCGAGGATTTGGACCTCGCCATCAGGAGCGAGTGCCTCGTATTCGGAGATTCTTATTCTTGACAAACTTCTGACTGAGCCTGTCATGCCTTGTAACAACCCAGGATTCACCAAGAACCCTAAAGGATGCAAATTAATGCCAATGATCCTGCTAAGGCTCGAATGCAGGGTAAGAACTACATTAGGATAGCCAGGTACAGTACAGTGCATGGTGTATTGAAAGGGTTGCGTTTCCTTTTTCTTCCCCGCTGCTTACATCTCATTTATGATACGTATTTACAGAGACAATGAAGCCACCAAACCAGCGGATGACAGTCTAATAAGAATACGCGGGGGGAGGCAAACTGGGCTTATTCTCGGCCAGCAGGGATTCTCACAGGATTTCTCGCTATTGTCATTATCGAATCCCACCATTTGATTCTTGTCTGCGACCACTTTCCGGCTGGCGTCTCTCGTGCTCAATTGGCCACTTCACCCCTACCAAGGGAATGCGTATCTCGGTGTCATTTGACCATCGTGGTCCAAACGAGGTGGAGCCTGAGTGACATGACAGGGCAATGATTTCGCAGCCAGCTTCTCACTCTGGGCGATCATGCGATAAGAGCAAGAAGAGTCGATGGCAACGACGGTGGACAGGGAAGCCTTCGCCTGTGCGTCGCTCTGCAAAAGGCCCAGCAAATCCACTGTTCCCTCCAGCATGCAAGCGGTCAATTGGCTTCCCTTGCAAACCAATCAGTGAGGGAGAGTCTGGGCTTTGCGTGATGGCGGCAGGAACAGGGCTCGGCGACAGGGCAAACCCCAGCTAGTCATAGGCTCTGTCTCAAACGTGCGTGCGTGCGCCCGCGGGTCTCGGACTCCCAGGATCTCACTTTCTCCGATCTCACTCAGTCAGTGCTACTATATCAATCTGCACTATAGATGGGGTTTTCAGCTCAGCACTTTTGCCCCTCTCTCTTCCGGTTTGAACTCTCTCTCCGTGGTCCTGATTTGACCGTACCCCTCTACGTTCAGACGCTGCTTCCCTTCTCAACCTCGAATCATCATCCGTTGTGCGCTTGTAACAGTGCCAACTATGGCCGCATGACTTGATATGATCTTCGTGATCCCTGGAATACCGACTGCTTTCGGGTTGGGTCTGGAACTTCCGTCGCCTGTGCAGCAGCCTCTTAAGCGCGATAGAGAGATTGAGTGGCTGCGATCCTGCACGGACTTCTTCTCTTCTACCCTCTTCCCCCAAATGCCATGCCTCATACTCACTTCGGACGGCCACGAATGACGATTCGGGTTGTGGTCCCGACGGTGCACTCTTCCACGAGCTGGCGGGATTTAGTGCTCTCGAAGGATTTGTGATACATCACGACACGTCCCCACAACGTCCACCCCAGTACTTTGTACTGAAGATTGGCTCCGAGCAGCAGGGGAGGGGCGGTTATGACTCAGTGCTATTCAGCAAGTATGGGTGTGTAGAGCTTGATGCCATCGCTGCATAAGACATGAACCGGGTTGCTCGTGTCGCGACCGCTATGTGGTAGCACCATGTGTTTTCTTGCGGGGCTGACTTATTCAAGGTTGTCGTGCCTTTGAACCTGACCTCGCAGAGGATTTTCGACAGAAAGACTATCATCCTCTCATCACTCCGGCCTCGACTTTGGCTTATTGCAGCAGCCCCTCCCCTCGACACGAGGTGGAATGGTATCGATCCTGTGCAGGTCTCGATCATCGAGTTTATACTCCGATCCAGCCAGAACGGCGGTGTGATTGCTGCACGATACGTGATCTGAAGTATTCCAGGGTTACGGGGTTGTGAAGGCCCATCGTGACAATATTATGGGGCATGCAAAGCAGGCACGTTGCTATTCGCAACTTGCCCTTCCGCTTCGTAATCCAGCGGTATGCTACACGAAGGTAACCTCATACCTGCATAGTATGTGCCGGAAGAAGAGCATCCACGTCCATGCTTCTACAGATCCTGTTGGTCAAGACCTTGGATGTCATGACCTTGGAGCAGGGTCGTCGGCGCTTCCTCCCACATACGAGACATGTACAAGCACGCCCAGGTGCACATCACATCTCACAAGCATATATCTGATCACGAAGTGCGTCACGTAGTGAGTACAGGACTGCACAGCTACATCGTTCGCGCCACGAAGGCTTTGGTACATCGACGGTGGGATCGAGGCCGGTTACACAGTACCGGAGATAAAAAGATACTCGTGAATATACGACCTCAGACGGAGTACTACGAAAGTACAAGAATGAGAGCAACCGGGCCATAGAACAGTCCAGGACTCTGAGGAGGGAGAAGATTTCAGACGATTCATGATTCGTTTCATTTGAAGCTATGCTAACCACTTCGACATCTCAAAAACCGAGTCAAGGAGAAAAGAGACCTATCTGAAATGAGAATTAGCACGTTGTGTCCAAGTCCCAGATCGGCGGAGAAACAGCAAATAAAGTTGTGGTAGAGATCAGAAGTCCAGTTAGATCATCGAGAATAGACCCAGAGACCGGGTAAGGTCCCCAGATCTACCTCTGACATAAGAGGTACCAGAAAATAAATAAAGTAAGGTGTGTTTCATCATTGTGAAGGCGAAGAGCGAAAATTTGCATTATGGCACGGGGTTTAGTTATGGGCAGTACTAACCTGGTGAGCAAAGACCGAGGGAGAGTCGCGTTGCCGAAAATGACAGCACACGAAGTCTATCCCTCGAATAGTTCAGGTTCGAGAAAATAAGGAAGAAAGCAGCATAAGCTTATCCAAATCTTCAGCCCGCCCAGAGGGCGTTGTCGTTAGCAAAATAGAAGGGAAGGTATGACCCAACAGTAACAAAAAGAAATACGAAAAACCTTCCGAGCCAAGAATAAAAAGGACGGCCGGCGTCCGTCCCGCCAAATAAGCGAACTTTTTTTTTTCTGCCAGCATCACATGACCATACCCACAAATCCACGAATTGAAGATCATGTGACCCACGATCGCGAAGAATTCTGACCCCCGGCGGATATTCATATTTGATTCCTCGACACACCACCCAGCTCTTTTTGCGTCCCGACCAGAACAACACCACCCTTCGACAACCAACCCCCCCTCCAAAAAAAAAAACAAAATGGGTCGTCTTCACTCCAAGGGAAAGGGCATTGCGTCCTCCGCTCTCCCCTACAGCCGTGCTCCCCCGGCCTGGTTCAAGGCTTCCTCCGAGCAGGTTGTTGAGCAGATCTGCAAGCTCGCCAAGAAGGGTGCCACCCCTTCCCAGATCGGTGTTGTTCTCCGTGACAGCCACGGTGTTGCCCAGGTTAAGCACGTTACCGGTATGTTGTCTGTCTTCGCAGTGGCTTGATAAAAAGTGTTGCTAACGACGGGGGGGGAACAGGTAACAAGATCCTCCGTATCTTGAAGTCCAGCGGTACGACCTCACCATCAATCTTTTGAAATCGAAACCCCCAGTTGCACCAGTACCTTGAGATTCGTTGGAGTTTGAAAATGAATTGATGGAGGAGTGATGGGGCGAAGGGACTCTGCGCCGGGATTGAAACATCATTACGTCGGCAGCATGGACGGATGGTTTGGTCTGGTCTGGTCGCTTCTCGTCCTTACTCCAGCTACCTATAAACGGTAGTTGAAAGAAGGGACTGAAGACAAAAGACGCAGGTTGAAACTACACCGCACCGTCTTGGGAGGGAATATTCCCCCCCCCGGAACCAGCACCTTTACCGCATCCTCAACCCCACACACCCCACTCCCATCAACAACTTCAATTTTCAACACACCTCGAAATCTCAAAACACTGGAGGGATGGGAAATCCCGACCCAGCATAACAGAAAAAGCCATGGTTCAATTCACTTTGCGCACTGTGGCATTTTTGTTTCTGGGTCACTTCCCAAAACCCCGTATTGCCTCTGCTTGGTCAAAACCTAGGCTGACAGAGTGATCTTTCCCCCCAAACAGGCCTTGCCCCCGAGCTTCCCGAGGACCTGTACCACCTCATCAAGAAGGTATGTCCCTTTATCCTCCAAAAAAGAGAGAAATGTGGTGATGCTAACGATGAACGTAGGCCGTCGCCGTCCGCAAGCACCTTGAGCGTAACCGCAAGGACAAGGACAGCAAGTTCCGCTTGATTCTCATCGAGTCCCGTATCCACCGTCTGTCCCGCTACTACAAGACCGTCGGTGTCCTCCCCCCCACCTGGCGCTACGAGTCCGCCACCGCCTCCACCCTCGTTGCTTAAGCGACTTGCCTTTTGTCGTTGGGTTCCTGGGTTGCGGGTTCTGGTGTGGTTGTGACTTGTCCGTGGTTGGTTCAATCTCTTTCTCCTTGTGATCTGAAAGGGTTAGTCAAGGAAAATGGGATCTATGTTCTGGCTATGATTAAGTCATCAAATATCAAAATTCTTCACGACCACTTTTGGTGCTTGGTAGATGTGTAAATTGTTGTTTAAGACGTACTGTATCTGTTGGAATATGCAAGACTACTATACATGGTATACCCAACATCTATCCATACATGCAATGCACCACTCAGCTATCAATGTCCCAACCCAACCAAGCTTATTCTTCCCAAAGCCAGAAGCAAATGTATCAAGACCCAGCAACCCTCACCTCCCTCGCAACAGCATTACACAACTCGACCCGCACCCCGGCCCCAGACAGCACATGAATCCACAACCGCTGCGTATCGCTCAACCGATCATTCTCCGACTTGACCTCCACGAACATCACCTCCCCAAACTGCCCTTTCCGCTCCGCCAAACCCCCAACCCCGCTACTCCCTTCTTCTTCTTCTTCTTCTTCTTCTTCTTCTTCTTCTTCACCAGCAGCAGCAGCAGCATTTTCTGCATCGCCGAAAACCCTCCAAACCAACAAATCCGGCACCCCGCCGCCCCTTACCGAATACTCCTGCGCGAGCACCTTACAGATGGCCGCGAGGGCGTCGCCCGGAAAACAGCGGACGAGGGCGACGAGGTCGTCGAGGGCGAAGGACCAGTCCAGGCCGACGGCGCAGGTCTGCGCCGGAAACTCGCGGGCGTGGACGGCGCGCAGGAGGCGCTCGGCGGCGCCAGCGGTGGTCAGTTCAGCGAGGCGGTGGTTGATCTCGCTGGCGCGGGTCGGGTAGAAGGCGTCGGTGTGGAGGTCGAGCGGGGAGGTCTGGTAGGGGGTCTGGAAGACGTTGGGGACGTAGGTGGTGAAGAGGATGTCGTAGAAGAGGTAGCTGAACTACTCCTCCCCCCATCCACCAAGTCAGAAGTTAGTTGGGGGGCGAGGGGAGAGGGGGGGGGGGGGGGGAGGGCGAGGCACCGGGCAAACAATCCCAAGCCAAGCTAGATAGCATTGGGCATTTCCGTTCCTTACCGTGGACCTTAGGTACGAGTAACTCAGCCTGAGGAAGGAGGGGGGGGAAGGGGGGCAAGGTAAGCATACCAAGGTTCTTACGATGCCTCCTTCGGAGTGATAGCCTTTCCACCCTTGAGCCCGGTACCAGTTCAGACACATAGTCTCGACGCGGCATTCGCCGCCTTCGCGCTCGTCGACCCAGACGGTGGGACGGCCGCGCCGGGTGCTGCTACTGTTGCCGTTGGCGGCGGATGGCGAATCCGTGGTGTCAGACACAGACTCCGGCTCGACGATTTGGATGCCTGCGATGGTGCGCTCAGCGGGCTTCGCCAGCCGCACGTGCCCGAAATCATGCTGCTCGCGCTTCACGATTTTCAAGGCGCGCTCGAGCTTCATGATGCGTTTCTGGAGGTCGTAGTGAAAGATCAGGTGGCAGTTGGGATCCTCGAGCCCCGTCTCGCACGTCCGCAGCGCGATCCGCCGCCAGTGTTTCCGCTGGGCGTCCTCGCTGCGCCCCTCGGAGGGGGTCAAGGCCCACATGTAGTGTTCCTCCAGCAGGGCCTTGCGCTGGTACCAGGCCCCGCGGCGGGCGGCGTGGAACAAGCGCTGGTCGAGCAGCTCGGTCAGGAGGCGATGCTCCTCCTGGTGTTCTTTGAAGCGTCCGAGCGGGTGCAGACTCTTGTGGATGATCCGCGTGTAGACCCATGCGGGCGAGAACCGGCGGAGGTACGCCCCCTCGCCGTACTCGTAGATGGTCTCTTCCTTGCGCTGCTCCTCCGCCAGCAGGGCGCGCCACCGCGGGTAGACCTTGTACGCGAGGTCTTTGATTCTGGTCAGGTGTTCGACCGTGGGGGTGCCGCTGAACTCGAGGAGGTTGTCGATCTGGAACTGCGTGCGCAGGGCGATCTCGAACTCGAGCAGGAATGCGCGAGTCGGGAAGATGGAGCTGGACCGGCACACGATGTAGTCCGGGAATTTCTTGCGGGAGATCTTGGCGAGGATGATGGTTGTGAGGGACTTTTCGGTCCATTCGGTGGAGCGGTAGAAGACCAGGTGGACGCGCTCGAACAGGGCGAGTGGGCCTGCTGAGAGCCTGATACAGTCGCCCGTGTAATCGAAGATCCTCTGCATGAAGTGGTCGTCTCGGTTGAGACCGTTGGATATTGTCGTGCTAGGTGTACTGTTCCAGCCCAGACCGGTCTGTTTCTGACTGGATCGGTGCAGAGCGGCAATGAGTTCATTCTTGCTCTTGCCCGGCACCTTAGCTTCCTTGGCGAGCATCTTCAGCTCATCAAGGAGTAGCAAGGACGAGGCTTCCTCGAGGGTTGTTATCTGATCCATGTGCTCGGCGAATCTGAACTCGCCCGTCAGGCGTAGCGAAGGCGCTGGGTCGATATCCGCGGGGCTTTCACCCGTGGATAACGGGCAGGAGGAGGTAGGAAGGCCGCGAGGATGTCGCAGCGAGGCTACCACCCGGGGCATGTCTGCGATATCCGAGTAATAGCCCAGCCGGTTGATGCGATGCCAGGCGGACGTCTTCCGAAGGAAGAGGCGTACGTATCTAAGAGATTACATTAGGAACCACTAACACCCTCGCCGAAAGAGTGGAACTCACAAGTACTGAGTCTCGTAGTCCAGCTCCCACCACTGCTTGAAGACTTCCATCTCCACCTCATCGAACAGATGCGCCTCCTCATCCAGCACAGTCTCCAGCGCCAGATTGAACGCATCTACGTAGATGGAGCTTCGCCCCTTGCGCCACTTGCCATCCTGCAGCCTCTGGTGGAGGTTGGGCTCGTCCTGGCTTGCCAGTCGCGCAGCCTCGTATTCCTCGATTGCCTGGCTATCATCCGGCACGGCCGGCAGGGACGATTCCAACTCCGTTTGGCTATTCGACACCGGGAAGTCGTTCTCATGTTCAATTCCAGACTCGGCTATGATAGGATAAGAGTCAACCCGGTCGAGAGTTGGTACCCCGGCGTCTTTCGACAGCGGGGCATCAGACGACGACAACGACTCAGGAGTGTTGTCCGAATCCCCTCCCGCAATTTTTATAGTCGGGGTGGCAGGCTTATCGTCAGCGACGGTGGTTTTTCTGCGCTTCGCATTCGGGCGCTGGGTATCCCAGTAGTCCAGCAGGGACATACTGCCGGAGAGATACAAGCATCGATCTTGCTTGCTCTTAACGCATGGCCCCCTAGGCCGTCACTCTGTGAATCAATGAATGTGGGCTGCGTCATTTGCGAGGGAAGGAAAAAGCGTGACGCGAGCCGACACGAAATCACCTGATCTATTTGTGAAACGGACAGGCATCAGATTTGCACTGTTTGCAAGCGAGCGGCGCCGCCAGTTGGCGTCGGCGCAAGTGGGATCTTCGGCTGAGATTCATCATCTTGTACAGTAGCTCCCCTCCAGCAAGCATTTCATCTGCTTTCCCTTATCCTGCATACATAACCTCCAATAGAATAAACACAAAAGAGCAATAGACACAGATCTCCCCCCCTTGCAGAATCAATACCTCACGATGACCGACTCCAACCCAGTAAGGAACTCCTCTCCGAGACGGAACTATGGAATGATGGCCATCCAAACCCCACACGGCGGAGCCCATGATGGAAGAGAGACAATTACAAGCTCAGTAGCTCCGCTTTCTCTCAATTTCCCTCCAGCAATTTTTCTTTCGCTGCCAATCGCAACTCTATTGGACATTCCTGTTTACAACAATTGATTTCCTTTTTCTTTTACTTCAACAACAAATTGGGAACCATAATCCCCTAACCTCACCAGTTCCCCGCAAACGGTTCCGCCGCAACCGATCCTGCAGCTTCAGCTTCAACTCCAGCAGCTCTTACGCCTCAACCACAGGATCAGCAACAGCCCCAACCTCAAACCCCCAATCCCTTCCCAGTAACAACAGCAGCAACAATGGCCGCCGACTCAACCTCCGCCAACACCCCGACCGCAGACTCCGCCGCCGCGACACCCACCAACACCACCACCGCCGCAGCAACAGCAGCAGCAACAACAAGCACCGCCAACGGCTCCCAAATCCGACCGGGCGGAGCTCCCGCCCGCGTCTACATGAACGAGAAGATCGTGCCGTATCTGCTAGAAGGGATGAAGAGTGTCGCGAAGGACCAGTACGTCCCACGTCCCCCTTGGCTAACACACAAACAGAAGAAAAAAGAGGCTAACGACGCTCACCAAAACAAACAGACCACCCAATCCCCTCCGCGTGCTGGGCGAATTCCTGATTCAGAAAAGTAACGAAATTGAGCAAGGGGCAGCAGCAGCAACAGCAACAACAACAACAACAACCACCAAAACGCCGGAGTAAGAAGAGCTCAACTCCCAGGAATACGGAGACAATAACTAGGTGATATGAATAATGCGCACATGTGATTGTTTTGGATTATACAGACGGGGACCTAAAAGTGTTTGGCGTGGAATGCGAATTATGATGATACGAGTATGCCCTAGACGCGAAAATGGGAGCGAATGCCCATTGAGACAAATCTAGAAGAGTTGGTTGTTTTATTCTGTACTGGTCAACTCTGGGGAGATGTCCCTTGGCGGGTAGTTTGAGGCTTGACCTCTGTGTGAAGGTACAGCGCTTGTTGCTCAAGAGAGTGAGGAAACACGAGCATTGGGGAGGGTCGGCTTCAACGTGCTAGGGCAGGTGCAGTGTCAAGATTGGGAGGTGTTGACCTGCAATTCGAGCTGCGCCAGTGTCGCCAGGGTCGCCAGGGTGCCCTGCTCTGCTGCGAAGCCTGGTTCAAGGAGAGGGTACTGCAACAGCAACAAAAGCTCATGGGGATCGAGCTACATATGGCCGCGGACGATTCCCGGGCTTGTTGAAGTTCCCTGCTGCGGATGTACGGTACATATATTTTCGGAGATCTAGCGTCCAAGATCGATAGTCGTCTTGAGCAATCCAGGAATGGGCCACGACTACGGACTACTAACTTACTACGTGTGTCACCATGGGCACAGGTCGCACAAGGGATCGGTAACTTGGACGACCAGGTCTCCTATGTACCTCCCGTAGAACCAGCATCACTGCAGTGCACGTAGAATGTAAAGAGCTTGCTCCATCACCGAGACACCCGTTATTTCCACTAAAATCAAACTACCTATGACTAGATGTACAGTACAGTACCGAAAGCCGTATCATATGACCTGCAGTTAGCGAACTGGGATTGGACCCGCAACAATCATGATGCTCTCTGAGTCACCACCGTGATGCAAGGAGTTCGGCCTGTCGGTCGGTCGTCGGTCGGTCGGCCGGTCGGTCAACTCACAACCAGGTAAGGTAGGCCGGGGCCCAGGTCAGATTTCCCCTTTAGATCAGTTCTGGTGCTATAACAATCAACAATAACGATACTCCGGATCAAATCAAGGAACCTACCGTTCCAAATCTTCCCAGGCGGTGCGTCGCAAGAGGTAGCCTTCTGAATTTGGGTTGTATTTACGGGAATCTCCTCTCAGGCCAGTCATTAAAGGTATCTGCACAGAAGATGCTCTGCGGTGTTTGCTTTCTTCCATGGCCATACTACAACGCACAGCAGTACACCCACGCAGACATAGCGGTCGCAGCAAAACCGCCATCGCAAGACTGTTTCCGCATTCCTTGCGCTGCGGATTTTGCTCGGTCGCGATCCAGAGGAAGCCTTCCCAGGGCGCGACGAACAGCCTGGAGCAGATCATTTAATGGTAGAAGCTTTTTCTTTTCTTTTCTGGCCGCATACAATCGAAGAAGTCGTTACGTGTAAAGAGAGTTGTATAAGACGCAATAGACGCAAAATAGGCGAACAGCTGACTGAAGACTGAAGACTGACTGAAGACTGACTAGTAGCGAGATAACGACCAAGTTTCCGGAAGGGCTGAGGAGTGAAATGTAGCAGTGCTGATCCATCTGACAATCCGAGGAATTACAACGTTAATGTGTGTAAAGATCTTGTTCTGTTCTCTTTTTCTCCCTTGCCGCCATGCTTTTTTTCACCGGTAGTTGCGCGAGCGAATTAACAAAAGAAAACATCAGTAGGTGTGACCGAGGAGCGACGAAACAACAGGAAATTCTTTTCTTGCTGTCCACGAGAATGATTTTCTGGTCTTTCTCTCAACTTTTCTCTTCACACGTGTAGACCGACGGTCGAATAGGTCGACAATTCGATGGCGCTCCGAATTCGCCCGAGGCTGACATGTGAACGTGACGATGAGTGATTCCCTTGGCTTAGATTGCTTTCCTGGCATAAGACACAACACAGAGACGTCCCTATCGTGGCCCTTCGAGCCCATTTCCATTCATCCAGGGGGGTATTAAAAGAAGAAGGGGGGGAACCATTCCAAAGAACAGGGGGAAGTGACGGGGGTGGTGAACTGAAACAAGGGGTGTGGTAAGGTGTGAAGAGGAAAGAGTGAAGGGAAACGAGGAAGAAGACCTAGATAGGCCTGGGAGGGAGAACGTGGCATGACCTCGATTCAACCACCCATGTCTGATCAGTCCACCTACCTGGTGCTGTAACGGTCATCGCCGCCACGGGGTTCGTAGGAGCGACCACCGCTGCCGCTGCCACCGCCACCGCTACCACCACCACCGGCATAGGGCTCACGGGCAGGGGGAGCAGATCCATAGCTGGGAGGGTTGGCATCGCGATCGTAGTAACCACGGCGATCCTCACCACCACCACCACCGCCGCCGCCACCACCACCACCGCCACGACGCTCCTCACCACCGCGACGCTCATCGCGGCTGTAACGGTCCTCGCGACCACCGCCAGAAGCATAACGGTCGATGCCACCACCGCCACCGCCACCACCACCACCGCGGTAACCATAGTCATCACGGTAGTCACGGCGACCGTAGTCGCGGTAATCACGACCACCGCCGTAGTCGCGGCGGTCACTGTAGGAATCATAGCGGCCATAGCGGTAATCGTCGCCGCCACGACGCCAGCTGCCACCGTAGCCACCACCACGGCGGTCATCATAGCGGTCACCACGACCACGGGGACCTCCACGGAAGTCTTCTATAGTCGGTATTAGAAGTCGATTTGTTCACACGTTAAGCAAGGAAATTCGAAACATACCACGCTTGGGGGGACCGAAGTATTTGCCAGGAGTAGGGGTTCTGGGACGGCTACGACGAGCTTTCTCGATGCTCAGGGTACGTCCCTCAATGACCTCACCCTGGAGACCCTCCTTGGCGGCATCAGCCTGCTCGGCGGTGACCATCTTGACGAAGCCGAAGCCACGAGACTCCTTGGTGTGAGGGTCGACCATGATCGAGCAGTTCTCGACGTCACCATACTTCTCGAAGAGACGCGAAATATCCGACTCGGTCAGACGGGGGTGGATGCCGGTGACGAAGAGGTTAGAACCAGTGTTGAGGGCGCCCTCTTCATCGTCATCCAAAGGAGGCTTGCGGGTATCAACAGGGGGGCTAAACATGCGAGGGTCTCAAGGTCAGCTGGTTGCCCATGGGGGGATATCGCCACCCGTGAGTGACGATGATGCTGCTTCCTCGAAGCTCTTGTCTGGGGTGGGTAACGTACCGGTCATCGACGCGTCCATTGGGAGAACGGCTGCGGGTGCGGTCGCCACGCGGCTCATCGCGAGGAGATGCGCTGCGGTCGCGGGTGAAGCGAGGTTCGTCTATACAGTTGCGAAGAGAAAAACCAGCATCGCGGGTTAGCCGTGTTATTGCGTAGTTACCCGGACATTAGCAGCCCGCTGTGAAGGCGATAGCTTTGACATACCGTCGTAGCGACCGTTCTCGTGATCGTACTCTGTAGCCATGGTGATGGTTTTCGTGAAGAAACAGAAAGAAGAATCGACAGAGGTTGAATGGGTCGAGGAGAGCGCGCGCGACGCTGAGAATTAAGAATTAGGAATGGGAAGCTGAAAAATTCAACGACCGATCACGATTGCGTTCACACACGGGCAGAGAAGAAACTCAAAAAGATGAGTTTGATTCTGGGATCCGTGAAAAGAACTGGGGGTAAAGAAAGGGAAAAGGGAAGAAAGGGAGAAGGAAGGAGGATGGAAAGGAATTCCCGAAGTGATGATGATGAAAGAAGGGGGAGGAAACCGGGAAAGAGAGAAGAGAGAGAGAGAGAGAGAGCGAGAGCGAGAGAAAGCTGAGAGAGACAGGTTCGTCTCCATCCAGTCTGGCCCGCCAGCGGCTCTGCGCCAAGCCAATCTTTCAATTCATCTCCTCTCCTCGATGTGCTTTACACCTACAAATTTCAACGCATGCAAGCAAGCAAACAAAATTAATTTACAACTTTCGATCCACAGATAGGTCACCAAAGATTCATTCACTTAAAACACCCATACACTCAACGCCCATTCATTACGCGATGCTGGCGATCTACGGCCCAAAAATGCCATTTCCCCATGGCCATGAAGGCATGCCTTAACGCCCATCCCTTCCAGTTGGCTAAACAACTGTCGACAAAAAAAAAAAAAAAAAAAAAAACACGGAACCAAATAGAGGCGAACAAAAGGCGATGTAGGGAGGAAGAAACAAACAGTTCACATCAGACAATTATCCCCATTACCTTGCTCTTTCTTACTTGAACCCACGCCAGCGTCGTCGCGTCCGATGAGTCTTTACGTGTTGCTGGGGAGGAGCTCCCTTTCCACCCGAAGTCGCCAGCGATGAGCTGACCACTTGTCCTTCCAGCTCATCCTCCTCTACCAGATCTTTCAATTCATCCTCATCTAGTTCGCTTAGCTCCTCACTCATTCCCCGCATAACGTCCCGTCCCGTCCAGCGCTCCTCATGGATGGTGGTCCCTACAGGGTCAAAGGGTTGCATATACCATTGGATGCCTCCCTGCGACAAGGGATGTTGCTGGTCGCCTGTAAAGCTGTGAGGCGGGGTGTGTGACTGTTTCTGAGCGTCGGACGGTGGATTTTCTCGTTTCGAGCTGTCTAGGTCGGTCTTCTCGATCGATCCATTCACAGTTGGCTCAGCTCCTTCCATGGTGGTAGGTTGTGAGGTTGTTGGTGCATCCTCAACGGTCTGGATCTCTGTCTCTTGCATCGCAGTGGTAGGTGTGGATCCTGAGTCGGGCACTGGCTGGGCAGATGGCTCAGTGGACTCTTCAGCAGGCGGCGGCACTTCTGCATTAGGCTCGACAGCTGCATCGGCCTTTTCAGGTACCGCGGCGATGTCGGTCCCTTCATCAATCTCCATCTTAGCAGTAATATCTTCAACCCTTGGCTCCGCGATTTCACCCAGATCTTGAGGTTGATCTGTTTTGTCAGTTGCGCTCTGCTCTGTAGAGTCAACCTCGGACCCTCTCCGGGACATAACGCTATTTTCTAGCATGAGATCAAGCTCCTTCAATTCTTGCTCGAAAGGCTTGCGGTTCAGTTCGCTCTCTTTCCTGATAGCATCTTCCAGTGCTGGTTGAATAGCTTTTATGATGCGCTTAGCCAATTTTCTCTTCTCCCGCTGTTCGAGACTGAGTTCGGGGGCACGGCCGCTGATCTGCATCTGTAGCTCTGCAGTGTTCCCAGCTGGTTGAACACCAATCTCCGTGGTGAATTCCCGGGCAAGGTCGGCAGAGAAAGATGCCACCGACGAGTAGTGGCGTTCTTGGAGCTTTGCACGGATAGACGACAGTCCTTTCTTGAAGATACCTTTGCCATCAAGCCTGCGAAGGAAAATCAGCAAAGGCAGAATTAGATAACGGAGCCAGCGGAGCTGCTTACCCTTGAGCTTTTTCGAAGATAGGCCAGAGCAAAGGGAAAATGGGGAAGTAGACCGTGTCTACAATATTGCGTAGAGTTTCCACGTCTTTCAGCTTTTCCTGTTCTCGCCTTCTGACTTCGTCGCACAGCGTCCTCAGTCTATCCAGATCGTAGCTAAGCCTCTGGCCAAAATCGATGCGCCGCTGCAGTCGCTTGCTGCCGGTCAACCCCATCGCAACATAATCTCTCCTGGTCATCTCCATCGATGAGAAGGTCTCCAACTGCAACTGCAGCCGTTTCAGAAGCGCAGCACCCCGTCTCGCTTCGCGTTTGAGGGTCCAATACTTGCATGCATCTTCAGCAAACTGCTTTCTCTGCCGTACCCCAAACCGTTGGAGCGAAGCGCCGACCGAGTTCAGGACGACCTGAGGAATCACCGGAGCTCCGGACGGTAACTTCCAGATCGTTTTAGGTGCAGTCATTCGCTTGCGCTTGTTGCCACCGACAGTAAGAGTAATACGTGGTGTATGTGTCCGGTGCGCATCGTCCTCTCCGTGCTCTCCAATATGGGAGTGGGCTGGTTCCAACGAGAGCGCTGCTGCCTGGCTGTCTCCCCAGCGGCGGCCCTGCATGGTATTTCGGTAGTACTCGATCGCATCCGCCGTGGCGGCATCAGTACCATGCTCCCTTCGCCATTCAGGCGGAACATGCTTATCACAGAAGGCCTTGAGGAGATGGGAGTCCATCACGGCCGGGGTTCCATGGCCTGACTTCATTTTCAGATAGAGCTGGGCTCGTCGGGCGCACGTTACGTGGAACGCCACAAAGCAGTTCTTGTTGCTACATTGGATAGATGCACCCATCCTCTGACGACAAATATAGCAATTGAGTTTCCAGCGGCTTCGCGGCACTTTTTCGACGTCAGTAATCGGCTCCATCAAAGATGGGTTGCCGATCGAGACTTCCGGAATCCAGATAGCACACAGAAGGTGGGACCATTTCGAGGAAGTAGTCTGTTTAAAGGCGCCCTCGGTGTTCGGGCAGAAAATGCAGTTAACGGAACCCCGGCCTATGAGTTGACACTTGCGGCAAAGCCATTGTCCTTCGGGAATAAAAGGAACACCATAGCATTCTTGGTGCACTGCTAGGTCGCATCCATCGCAGAACACAATCGCATTCGAGTTCTCGCAGTCGCCGTCATCACAAATGGCACATTTGCTGTCCTGCTCTTCGCCGGGGGCAGTTTCCCCATTGACCGCGGCGGCGGAGCTCGAACGAGGGCGCTGCGTTTGCGGGGGTTTCGGATTTGGTTTTGGGATACGCTTCTCCAACGCATACCACTCCCGTTCGATCTTGGTCATCGTGATTTCAAAGACCGCCGGTTTTATTGGCTCCAGCTGATCTTCCCTCCGTTTCGCGTTGTAGTCTTCCAGCCACTTCTCATCCTGTTCGTCCATGTCATACTCCACCCGACCGACAGCGGCATTGACCTCCCCCTCTGAGGCAACAAGGTTGGTCAGATCTAGGTCATCTTCCTGTGCGCACTCTGACATACGAACCAACCGCCGGTCATGCCGCAAGAAGAGGTCGCTCTCCTGGTAGCCTACGCTAGCCATGGTACGGTCGACATAGTTTTGCTGACCGACACCAGGTTGGTCATAGAAGGTAAACGGATCCCGCAGTCGGAATGTGGGTTTCGGAAGGGTCAGCCTTTCGCGTGGATTAGGACCGGGAGGAGGAACAGCTTTCGGTTGCGGCGAGATACCCAGAGCATGGAGGATAGCTTCGGGACGACGAGGAGGACGGCCAGGGCGGCGCTTAATTGGCGTCGCCGAATTGCCATTGGCGTGCGCTCGAATGAGCTCCGCGATCGGATCCTTGTCGCTGCTGTTATCCAGACCGTTAGGCGATAGGATTTGAGCTATCGAAGCCGACGGTGGAGGCCCATCCACCTCTTCTGCACTGAAAATCGTGAATTTGGTGTCGATGTCCAGGTCCGGATGGAACTCCTCCCAGCCCCGTTCCTCGCGTGGTTTGTACCCATCTCCTTGTTGTAGCGCAAGGGCAGCCGCGGTCGAGGAGCCGAAGCGGCCACGGTTCTGGCTCTTTTCTCGTGTCAGACGCGCAGAAGGCGGCGTGGATGGTACAGGAGGTGGCGGAGGAGGAGGAATAGGAGGCGGAGGAGGAGGAGGCGGTAACTGTACGGGCTGAGGAGGCTCGGGTTCTGGAGCTGGAGCTGGAGCAGGGCGACTGCGGGAGCTCGAGGAATTGCGTCGAGCTGCTGGCCCAGTCTTTGGTTGTCTCGAAGCCGGCTCCTTCACTTCTAGTTCAATATACCGCCCTCCTCCACCGGGACCACCTGGAATATACTTCCGTTTCTTGAGGGGTGGACCTTCCGAAGTGCTCGGATCCGAGCTCCGTGATGCCTTTAGGGTGACCTTCGTTTGGTTTCTCGACGATCTACCCGGCGAGGAACGATATTTTGACGACGAGAGCGGCGCCATCTTCTTTATTCGGTAGGAATTTGTGAGATCGGATGAAGCGGCGTGTGGTTATTTGTTGATGGACCCTCGCCCGAGCTCGCCGCTCAGCCTCACCGTGTGTGGGCGTTTGAGGGAGGGGGGGGGGGGGGGGGGGGGGGGGGAGGGCAGAAGGGAATTGTCGTAGGGAATCACAACCAACTAGACTGCGCCGTAAGACGAATTATCACCACATCAGATAAGCCAGATAAGTATAGCATGACTCATCGAAGAAAGGAGTTCCGACTTGCAAGCACGTTGGGATGGAAGGGCGACAAGCGAGTGGAAGACGCGCGACGACGAAGACCGCGAAAGAGACAAGCCGGCGAACAGCAACGGACGGGCTGGAGAGTGAATGAATGTCACTCACTCCGGGCTTATCAAGCCAAAGGCGGAGAGAGACAGACCCGCCTCCCTTTCCCGCGCAGGGGAATCTCCGCCGCCCGTCCACGGTCCCCTTCCAGCTCCCCGTCCGTCCTTCCATCTTCCTCTCTACTAAACCACCACAATTCTACACGGTTTACCCCGTGCTGGAAGACAAAAAACTCCTCACGGATCGTGATCGGTGATCGATTGGACACAAGAATGAGTGGACCCGGCGAAGAGCGGGGGTACGTTCTATTCTCTCCATGCATGTCCCAATTTCCCCGTCCCCCCAAAAGCAGCTTCCCCAATAGCCATTCTCCTTCCCTCTCGTGCCAGCAGCATTCTTGGTGGCTGACCCATCCGGCTCATTGTAGCAGTACCTGGCGCGGAGGCCGCCCGTACGAGCAGAACCGCCACGCCGCGCAGAGACATTCCTCCTCCCGAACAATGAGCGCCCATGGCAGCTCTCGAGGAGGGCCGAACACATGGAACGATTCCTCGCGCGAACAGCCTCCTCCTCCTTCCTCGGGACCTCGGCAGGAACAGCACGTCCCCGTGCGCAACTTCAATGCTACAGAGTCGAAGGCGGCTCTCAGAAGAGGTATGCCGGATCGTACTCGGATGTTCTCCCACGTACAGTAGCTCGTCGAAAGTGCTCCAGCTGACAACCTACTCTTTTTTGTTTTCTTGACTCCGCAGGACCCGGAGGTACGAACCCCGTCACTAGAAACAATGCACACGGAACCCATGTCCGGAGTTGAACAAAACGAGAAACTAACCCGTGCACATCGTCCCAGAACCGAGACCCTTCTTCTATAAACCGCAAGGCAAGGACACGAACAACCGGGCTAGCGGACCCTGGGGTGCTAAACGTACGTTATCCCTACCACTCTCACCCGCGCAGAATACTACTACACACTTTCCCCAAAATATTTCTGAAGAATCTGTCTAATACATGAACCCAAACCAACAGCGAATCAAATGGCCAACGGCAAGGATTTCTTCCTCGAGCTTCGGAAACAAGTGACGGCTCTCCGACAGGGCAATCCTGTTGCAGGTGGATGATTCTTTATTCTCTCAATTCGCTTCACCTAGGAGAAATCCTGTTACTCACCGGGCAGGCCACAGGGTATGCCCGCTGTAAAAAAGCTACTGAATGCTTAGATTACACCAGGGGACGGTGGTTTCACATTATAAGCTGGGAGAAGAAACTCGAATCCTGCTCTTCATGTCTATATGTGAGGAGAAGCGCCTCACTCCTCTCTGGTCACTGCGCGAGATGACTTGGCGCGTCGTTGAGACTCTACCGGTTGGAAAAAAAAGAAGGCTTGCAAGCCGGGATTGAACAGCGGCCTGGCAAACGATCATTTCGATGATGCCGCATGCAAGGCCTGTAGGAAGCGGGGAAAAGCATTAGTTCTGTTATGAAACCAGGCAATGCATTCAGCTGAATCACTCTCAACCCTATTTATCCAGATTGTGATGCAATGTCCTCTATTTCCATGGTCGTTATCAACGCTCTGGAACCGTTATGATACATGATCAGCCGTAGTGACGGAAAACCCTAGTTTTCAATATACCTACATAAGCTCCGAGCAGGGAGCTGAAAGACTTGTAATATACAATGGCTATGACTAGTGTACAATAGTGCAAGCGCGATACTCACGAATACACCCCTATTATTTTACTCCTTCAATTCCTCCTTGATCCAACCGCCGGGTCCCCAGAAACCTCCATCCTGCGCATTAGAATCGTCAGCAAGAGACCACTTTCTGAGCGCATGAACCGAAAGATCCGTGCGCCATCCGGCCTCGTACATCTCCATACCCGCCCACGCGATCATCGCCGCATTGTCCGTGCACAGATACGGCGGCGGGGCGTAGAGCTCGATGTTTTCGAACCCGCGCACGTCCAGGAACGCCCGGAGCACGGTCTTCAGGAACTGGTTCGCCGCCACGCCGCCGCTGATGACCAGCGACTGGATGGGCGTCTCGTGGGGCTTGTCTTCGAGCGCGATGATCAGGCGAGAGGCGATGTGCTCGAAGCTGGTGCGCATGGCCGCGCGGGCCAGGGCCTCCCGCTCGCCGTCCGCCCACCCCTCGCCGGCCTCCTCCTTCCGCCTGATCAGTCGCTCGACGGTCGGTTCGATGGAGGTGAAGCTGAACGCCAGATCACGGGTGTTGGCGAAGGGCGTCGTGAAGGACCAGCCCCACTCGTTCGGTTCGGGGGCCCGGACCTCGTCGCGCCGGGTCGCCGGCGCGCGGTAGTCGGCGTGGTCGGCGCGGCCGTTGGGGAACGCATATTGCTCCAGCGCTTTGGCGTACACGGAGTGCTTGGACGTCTCGATGACCGAGTCGGGCAGGATCAGCCGCGCAGCTTTGTCGAGCGCGGACCCGACCGCGATGTCCAGCGTCGAGGCCAGGATCTCGTGATTCGTGAGCGAGGTGGATTTCACCAGCATCGTGTGGCCTCCCGAGGCGAGGATGGAGATGAACGGGAACGCAGGCTTGGCCTGTTCAGGAACTCCACCGTCATGATGAGAGCTGGCGCGCTCTGGGCCGTTTTCCGGGGTTTGATTCAGGAAGTGTTGAAGGTGCGGTGTCACCAGATGAGCCTGCATGTGATGCACACCGATGAAGGGAACCTGCCATGCCACGGAAAGTGCCTTCCCCGTATCCAACCCAACCAAGACATTGGTCCTCATGCCTGGGCCCCGCGTGGCGCACACGATGTCCGGTTTGCGTCGCGGTTCGTTGCCATTTGACAGTGTAACGAGCTTGTGAAGGGGGGTATCGGAGGAGGGGGCAGGTGGTAAACTGGTGAGCGCCTTGTTGACGAGCTTCGCGAGGTTTTCTTGATGGGACTCGAGCGCGACAACGGGATGAATGCCCTTGTACGCCGTGGAGTCGCATGTTACTTTCTCATGGAAGTGGATCTTCGCATAGCCTTCCTTCTTTTCGACGATTGCAACCGAGGTGTCATCGCTGCATAAAGAGCTTTTGTCAGATTACTGTACTTCATGCAATGCAGTATACAAGGGACCTTGAACGAACCAGGACGTCTCGATGGCGAGAGTGAGCAACCCACGAGCACGGGGCAGAGGACAGCTCCTCGCAGCGGCTCCTACGCTTCGCCGTAACGCGAAAGGAGATATTCTGGAAAGTATTGACATGGGGTAAGCTGTGGGCAGCGCATAGGACAAGACAAGATTCTATCGCCCGTCAGCGGCGAAAGAAGCGGCCCGGAGGTTTCCTCGCACGGGCCACATGAGCCCTGAAATGCTGCCCTAACGGGACCGAAGAGGAAATATGTCTGGCGGTCAGTAGCAATAGGAACCATTCTACTAATTGTGGTCAAAACAAATCTAAGTTCATATTTGATAGGCAAGGATGGTAGTGAGCTTAAACGAATGTCATTGGAATACTCCAGGATATGCCCGTATGCTAAGTAATTGGACGCCAAATCATATCATCACGTCATAATCATAACAGAAGTCATATACACGCCGAGAGACTGCACTTCAACTCTCTCTTTCAGGAAGCATCAAACTCATATACCCTACCGGCCCTGAGATCTGACGCCCACAAGATGACCTCAGATCAATACCAAGACCCACCCTCGTCCTTGATATACAAAATCGGCATGTCAAGGCGGTGTCGGGGTTGGGTATGGGCAAGTTGTGCGCAAGGTCGAAGTTAAAGCTTTGATCTTGCCCTGACCCTTCTTGGTGAGCATTTCTTGTCGGGGTGCTCACCACTGTACCATTCGTCTAGAAGCTCGGGAAGCCCAGTTTGAATCGTGTCCAGTTCAATCCCGTACGACCCAGCGTCGTTCCTCCCTGGACAATTTGGTGTAGGTGCCATAATACTCCTCTGGATTCTCAATGGGTGTCACACAATGAACAGTCGGAGTGCCCTTGAACTGAATCCGTTTGTCTGAAGCACTTGGGGCACCTGGCGCGGAGTGTTTTTTGAGAATGCTTTTGGAGGTGCAGGAGTTGTTGTAGCCGAAGGACGGCACCTGTAAGGTCGAGAATCGCTTTGCACTGGGACTCGCCGGGGAGATTGGCGTTCGGGGAACAGCACCAGGCGACTTGAGGGGAAACGACGAACGAGAGGCATTTTGCGCCGCAGAGATGCTCAACGAAAGCTTAGGCCGGGCGTACATCTTGAATAACAGTTGACAGAGGGATAGAAGGTGGTGACGTTCGTGCGATAGATGTAAAGGACGCCCTGAAAATTCAATACGATAAGTGCAGTGAACCGATTGGCAGCAGAACTTTGATCAACAAAGTGTCCACTAAAGCAGGCGTGTGAATGATACTATTATTTTTTATTGACGTCAATGGAGAAGAAACGAAGAAAACAAATAGCTTGCTTGGGCCAGCCAAACGAACTAGACAAAGACAAAAATAGAACAGGAAGAAGAACTGCACAACCTCAAACAGACGGCGTGTCAGGAAAGAGAAAGGGTTCGAATGCAGGCGACTGCTGAGCGGCTATATAGCTGTCGATGGCCTTCAGTCAACCATCAACCAGGGGAGGGTAGAGATAGAGAGAAAGAGGCTTCAGGCGTGAGGGGGAGGCAAGGTGGAGGCGGGGCCAATCGCTGCCGCTCATCACACTCTAAGCGCCCAGCAACTGCACCACCAAGCACACAACCACTCCTCCATCACGCACTAGCCAGAAAATGCAGGCTATGAAAAGATAAATCCTTGCCACCAAAGCAACTAACGGTGTGACCGCCGATGACGGTCTGTGCAAGGTTCCTATTCGGGAATCGACTCTGCGAAGTCCCCAGATCAACTAGTCGAATTCCCGATAATCATACGGGACATGGGATGGAAGTCAACTCTGCAGAAGCAGAAACAACGAATAGGATTGGCTTCTGTCTCATAAACTTTGGGGGTGTTGCTCAGTGCTGTTACACCTGCATAACGGGTACATCGATATCACACCTTTCCATGTGATGGTTGGCTTCCATGAACCATCACTCGTCCTTCCCATAGGAATCCCACGCATAATCAAACTTTAGCATGCCGGCATGATTGTTGCCACTATCCCGCACAACGCACAGAATTAGCTCGTCTTGCTGAGCCACAGATATCCTGGGGCCTTATGAATCTCTATTTCATTCCAAGGGAGCTTTATCGGGTCTGTGTTTTTGCATCAAACGGACAATCCCATGCACTGTGGTATGGGAGGGCGGCATCATGCATATCCATTGCTGTATAAAGGATCCCTGCTTCCCTTTTCACTATCCTGTTGTGTACTCGGGCAATTTTTCCACTCGCCGAAGCGAGTGATGGTTGCTGATCCTAGAATGGGAGGTCGGTATCTCATCCAAGAGTCACGTTCATCCACTAACAGGTTAGTTACTCGTAGAGGTGAAGTAAGCCTGCTCAGATGGCATGTATTGGGTCGAAAGCCCATGTAGACGCACACTCATGGCGATCAACCGACTCCATTAGCCATGCTGATCTTCACCGGAGGATTCGGAAGTTGTCCGCCTGAATAACACCCGAAGCTGGATTCTCGATGTACTTTTCTGTCTTGGCTCCTCGTCTATGACGGAATCATTGTCGCGGCCCACCGTTCTGTCTTCGTCCAAGATGTATTTCCACTTTCCATCCGGCGTCTCCAGTCTATCAAGCTTATACCTCTTGTCGAGATCTGCAAAGTGCTTTCGTCGTTCATCGTCGCTCCATGCATATGTGCCCTTGAAATCATCCAAGATCCCGCTCTGAGTTATCCAAGGCATGATGGAGCCGATAGATCGTGGGATCCGTGGGAATCGGAATCGATACCGTCTAGTAATGAAGACTGATGCCACAATACACGCGTCAAATACGACTATTAGCATGACACAAATGAATGACAGGACAGATGGGTAAACCGCCCAGGACATATGGTATATGATGCCATCCTTGATGCCGGCGGGAGTATTGAGGTGACGAAAATAAGCGTCTCTCTTGAGGGAGAGATCGGTAGCAAACATGGACCGGTAGACCGAGCGGGCAGCAGCTTCGAGTACACCGACGTCAATGTCTGATGTATTGGAGTTCATCAATTCGTAAAGACTCACTGTCAGGCTGCCGAAATAATCAACCTGAGTAGAAGCATTTTGTTCCTGGGACGAGCCGTTTGTGGAGACAGGACTAGATAGTCTGTGGTTGTAATTGTTAAGATTTGAGGTGCCGTTCTGTACCATCGGACCATCGGCAATGGTGGTGTCATTAAGTGGTATATGGTTCTGTATGAAGCCTTGCGAATTCCAGGCCACTGAAAAATTCTGCATGACGATGAACGATTCGCAAATCATCGCGACCGTGTTGGCACTAGTTATCTGGGTATGGTCGCTGTCGCTTGGCTGGGCCACCACCAATATAGTTGGCTTATGGCAACCTTCAGCTGCTTCGGTAGGTGTTGAGGCGAAAAAATTGACCAACATACTGACATCCTCCACGTTGGTTGTATCCCGTATTGCGTTTATTTCGCATGTTATACTGGATTCGTTGAATGGAGAATACCTCCAACGGCCAACATTGGAGCCGGGGTCTTGGGTGAAGTTATCCGCAACCGATAGCCCTCGGCAGAGTATGTCGGCACCCACACCCCGCAAAGAGCCACCGATAAGCCAATCCGAAGAGTTGTCGGTCCAAGCGGGAAGATAGGAGTGGCTGGAAGTTGTCCATGGTAGCAGAGAGGAGCCACTATAGATACTCGTCCGCATAGTATCGAGTTCTGGAAGCACCGATGATGGTTGTCTGATGGCGAATGACTCATAGCTATACCAGGTCTTCATTTCAGTATCCGCGGTCGTTGGGCCAAGGTCATGATGGAACAATCCGTTGACTAGAATACTGAGTCCGGTGTTGACAATGCATGCCACGCCCACAAGCCCGAGCAGGATATGATTATAGTTAAACCAATTGAAAAGTGAGGCAAATGGGTTCAATGACCCATACTCAAGCAGTAAAGATGAGGCAGCAGATGCTCCTCCCGTCTGAAGGACTGCCCATGGTTCCAGAACGCTCAGATAACGGTATATTGAGAGGCAGATCGCACGTATGATAGACGCGATTGATGATGGAATCAGGGAAAATAGAACCCCTATGCTGCTTGAGCTGACGAAGGTCAACGGAAAAACATAGCCATCTTTCACACACAATGCGATCACAGTTGCAAGACCAGCAACTGCCGCAGCAAAGATGAAAATTTCAAGTCCAAAAATCGGGATCAGGAGGAAATGAGGTCGTGGATCAGAGCGGGCTTTTGCAGCTCTTCCTGGGGAGCGAGGCACTATTCGAAGTCAGTACCATTTTTTGACAACGTGGAAATCATGACATACCATGCGATGGCTCGATGCAGATACAGGGAGGTTCTCTCTCCTGTTGCCAGCGGCAATTGTAATTCTGAAGGATAGATCGTAACTGCCTTGTCGACAATTCATCGAGATTCATATGCGAGATATGCGAGATATCGATAATGTCTGCCATGATGCCGCACATCGACGCAATAGATGCAGGATCGCCTCGAAGCAGGTTTGGGCGGCGTGGGTAAGCGTAGGCTAGGTATAAGATCACTATCACGCTCAGCGCAAGGATCGCCTCAGACATGAGGGACTGCCACGGTCCAACCATTATGGCCATTTGATGCGTCACATGAGACGCCTGGACATAATTAGATTGGGCGCAGACGTCGAAAATCCGGTTCATCAACGGTACAAAGGCTTTCTGGATTCCTCGGTTGAGCGTCGAGATTAGAGTATCTTGAGAAGCAGCCAGTCCGACCAATTCCCTATTCCAAAATGAGGTGCCATTGTTTGCAAGTACTTCTGACAAGATGAGGTTTTTGAAATGAGTCGTATTCAAGGATACCCCGGAAACATTGCTCATAGTATCTGAATGCAATGCGGTGACGGATAACGATCCGTTAGCCTGGAGTGAAATGCTGGCCTCCGAGGTCCGGTAGACAATCTGGCAGCCAAAGCCACTGACATTATGCGTGTAATCAGAGCCCTGTGAATTCGACCGATTGCTGCTTACATTCTGGCTGGTTTGGTTCAAGCTGACTTGAAGAACGACGCCCACAAGGTCAATAGCAGCGCACGCATCATCGAGACCTGATGTACTTAAGACTGGCTGCCAATGCGATATCTGGAATGAACCATTTGTGGCTGGTATGGAAATTGCTTCACTCAAATGCATCGAGCAATTTTCTGAAGTTGATGATGCAACGTTCAAATCCCATACGGCCGATCGATCATATGGCGAAGCTGCCTCTGAGCTGGTTTGATTCGTCAAGGCATCGATGACCAAATCATCCTCCACTTTCAAATCAATACAATACAGCTCTGCCCAGTAGACAGACTGGGTGAGTTCCCACATCGTCGTATCATACTGAATATCCCAGGGGATATTTACTGGCGCCATTGCATACTTATTCGAATCTGGTTCATCGTAAGTCAGATAACGGTGATCCCGAGAGGCTGTGTAGTTCACTGTTGAGTTGTATGACACGGATGCTTGCCCTTCCATATCGATCAACTCCGGCCATATCTCGAGATGTTGACTGTTGTAGACTGTGGCATCATCCATTCTGAAGAGACTGCTCTGAAGTGTGGGAAACACCAATTGCAAGAGGACACTCAAGATCGAGATGAAAACTGCCATCCAGTGTCGATTCCTGAATGCAAAGAATGGGGCGGTGGTGAAATGACCAAACTCATAATTGAGCAAAAGTACCTCGGCCGACACTCCGTTTGGCTTGGAAAGTTGAAAGTATGGCTCTAGACGAAGAGCATCATACTCAACGACAGACCATAGAATGGCCACAACCATGCCCAAAATGCTCGGGACATAGGTGAAGATGAATTTCCGGGCAATGGTGATCTCATCAGAGTCAGTGAACACATCAAGTCCACCTGTGTCGTTACCCCACTGCCGAAGGACTTCTGTGACCATCACCATGGCCGCCATTAGGCCAGCCAAGGGGAACAAGTACCGACGACGCAAAGTCTGAGGTAGCCATCCTGAATTCCGAGTCTGAGGAACATGCCCGGTAGTTTGTGACATCGTCCAACTTTATCAGTCTCCTCGAGTCAATGTGGTATCGATAAGCGGAGTGCTGGTGGGCATCAAGAGCTAGCCAGTACAAAATTAAGACCGAATCCACATGGCTGTCCGTCGGAGTGTCAGGATCAGATTTTTAGTAGCATAAGTTTGGCATAGCCATTTCAATCGTCTAGTCAATCAATTATCACGACAACCCTATGCAGCAATCGATCTATAAAGAAGATACAGCCAGGTTCTTTATCAAAGAAGGCCCATGGCAGCATGTAAAAGTGAGGTTGACGGGAACGAGATAAGGCCGAACTGGACTGTGTCCAGGGAAATCTGGCCAAGCGCCGAAGAGACCTTAGATAAGTCTCAGGACGGGCGGGTGGGCTGCGTGAACTCCTTTAGGATATCATTGGTGCACTCCTGCGTGGATCCCGCTGGGGCTAGTGATGCGTAGCTGTGAAATTCTGCGATGATGATGGGACGGGCTGCGCATTTCGACCAAAAGGCTAGGGCCTCTGAGTGGAGGAACGCGATTATCTAGACCATCAGAGCTGACCTTAACAAATATGAATATGGCGTTATGGTACTGAGGTCATAATCCTACTGGGTCGAACTGATAAAGACCTTGGACAAGCGGGCTTGAGAGGTCCTAATCCATTTCTTCGCCACATGTTTCGACAGGGGTTGTGGGTCGCGGGATTCGAATCATTCAGTAATCGTCTGAAATGAAGAAATAAGCATTTCGGTTACAGGAAGCGGGAGACAGTGATTGAAATAAACACGGGCAAGCAGGGGTATCAAATCGTTAATTCGTTATGGTGCGTACCCCAGGTCAGTCCTCTTGGCATCCAGTGATGGTCAACCTGAATGCTTCAGTGCATCCAAGCAGGCAACCTCACTCCAGATTGCTTATTTGGAGAGAATTATTTGAGTCTGGCCAAGTTCTTAAGCCTCGCGGCATAGGCTCACCCGCTAGAATCTGCCAGAAAAGGTTGAGTTTGACACTCATGCTTTTTGAAGAAGGTCTGGATGCATGCTCGAAGTAGGCTTGCTCACGCTGGCCCAGTCAAGTTCCACCGAGCGAAAATGATGGCTTGATGACCACAATGACATGATCGCCAGTGTGTTTTAAGCTTGGCTTAGCTTACTGTGTAGATGGAGAAAGGTCCACTCCCGGTGGCCTTGATCGTGTTCTTAGCCCGGGTTTCTAATCTTTGCTTTAGTGGGATTGAAGTCGACGGACTGTTGTACTGCATTGCTATCCATGCTGATTTGCTTATGCTTTCAGTAAAGAAGCAAATCAAGGCCGGTAAGCCATCATGGGGTGTGGCGATCAGAGCTACCGTGCATAATGTAGTTGCTGGAAACTGGCAACATGGTTGTTGACCTGTACGGACATCGGACAGCCAGCCATGCAAACAGACCAAAGCCCACGGGTCAGGCGTCCAGAATGACAACGAACGGCAGCCACAGTCGGATGCAACTCCCCTTCAAGCCTCAATACCTCCCCACCAAATGTGCCGCTCTGCAAATTTCTGGGCTTTGGACTCGGATCTCATGAGGCCCAACATACATCACTTTCTGGATCCATGATTTGAGGTTGACCGAAAGGCCTCGATCGCGAATCAAACAAGGCTGGACAAGGCTGGAAAAGGCTGGATCGGGTGACGTCAACAGTCTCCTTTTACAGTTTCCTTAAACTAGACTTCCCAGGCATCCGGCCCGCAGAGAGCCAAATCGAATGTTGAAATAAAACCCAGTTCACAGCGTCCCTGCCATTTTGACAACCTATATCGCTGCCTGCAATTGTCGGTCTTTCGACACAATGGGCGGTCTTCAAAATCTTCTGGAGCCTGGAGGTAAGTTATACTTGAACTTGCAATCCATGGGATCTCCGCAGCATCCGAATAGTGACTGATGTATATCCTACAAGTACAGCGATCGTCGCGGTTTTCACCACGGGTACTTTGATCAACCGACGCAAGCATGTCAGGTCGCCGGAAGTCCCCAGCGTGGAATCACCGTTGCTTGCAGATGGTCTTGAGGACGTGAAGCCAAATGCAGACGATGAACGTTCGCTCCGCAACCGCCGGACACCTCAGTCTCGTCTTCTAGCACATTTTCCTTTTCTGCTGGAAATCTTGTACTGGCTGCTTACCTACTGGGTATGATATGATATGCCTACTCACATATGTAGGGGATAAATTCTGACTGAACATCCAAGATCTATCAAGGGCTGCGGGCGTTCTCCGCCCGAATGATTGCCGGCCACAAGGAGATCTTCGACACAGCTGAGCGCCATGCTATTTCGATCCTTCACCTAGAGCATTTCCTCCACCTTGACGTCGAATTAACGGTTCAGAGATACATCCTCAACGAGATTCCGTGGCTCATGCCCTTATTGGCGCGTGTATACTACTCGCACATCGTCCTCGGCGTGGTATTTGTGGTTTATTGCTATACCTTCGTCCAGCGCGACAAGTACCAGGCGCTCCGGCGCACGCTGGCATTTGAGAATGTCATTGCATTTACGATCCTTACTCTGTGGAGGTGCATGCCCCCGCGTCTCCTCCCCGAGGAGTACGGGTTTGTCGATGTCCTGCACAGCAACAAGGGCGGTTCGGCTTGGACGCAGAACAAGTTTCAGCTCACGATCGCAGCGATGCCTTCGCTTCACTTTGGAAATTCCATGTTCATTGCGCTGTGTCTGCTCAAATTCAGCCCCCATTGGTACCTAAGGGTGATCGCGCCGTTGTGGCCTATGATGATGGGTCTAACGATCGTTGCGACCGCCAATCACTTCATTTTGGACGCTGTTGTTGGTGCATGTGTGGTGCTCGCCGCTTTCAGGTTCAACCGCGTCATGCTGAGTCTGCTGCCGATAGAGAGAGCGGTGTTTAGATTGCTTCGCCTAGAGAAGCCTTGATTTTATACAGGGCGACGGGATGGTTGGGTTAGCCATTGGACTTGAGACCTATATATTATTAGGGATACATCGTCTTTCCGTGATGATGCCATCGATATGTATGAGTATCGCACTCACAAACAGAACTTTTAATCACAGACCTTACCGTGTATACTAAGAAGCTGGACTGTGCTCTCTGCAATTGAGACCTCGGGTAGACTGTAGCTTATTAGTCTGCAGCTAAGCATTGCCAAGTCTTGAGTATATCAGAAGAAGTAACAAAGCGTCAGTAAGCATGCGAGCGAGAGGCGTGCATTTTGGTGTATAGTACGGTAGTACATGTGCGATCGATATAACGTGGATTTTGAAGCTTCGTCGACGGTCGTCGACAGGTTATTCGCGACTACTTAGTATGGTCACTTAGTAGCAACCCTGACATTTATTTGTACAAGTCGAGCCGTGCTGAGACATTGACACTCATGATATCACACAGCACAGTGTCAGTTTAAGGCTCATTTTCATCGCCTTTCCCCATGGGTACAGATTGTAAACTCCGACGAGACCTTGTGGTTTCAAATGAGCACGTTTTGCTAGGACCCTAGGTAGTACTAGTAGCCGCCAGTGTGTATTGGTTCTCCTCAGAATGACTGAATCGAGAGGTTTAGTACCTAGTAGAAGTTGAAAAAAGTATCATGTCGCGTGATTTAGCCCAAAGAGGCAAGTCAATGCCACGCAAAACGAGACGAAATCAAGCTGCCACGGAGCCCCGAGCCCCGAGCCCCGAGCTGGAGTCCGTCCCCCTAGCTAAGGTAGGTAAAGTAGACTAAGTTACCTACATAGTATTAGGAGTAGCCCGCCGCGGCACTTGTATGTACTGTGTCTGTACTCTCCAAGTTGGTTGCACTGCAGGAATCCCGTCCGGCATTGATAGTTATGCTACAGTGCACTAGTGAGCCTATGGGGGTGTGAGTTGACTCCAAGGGATTGCGTAAATGCTAGGGTCGGAACTCAGCAGCAATAGATGCGATGCTGGAGCTGACCTCGGAGCTGCTCCGCAAGCATTGAACCCTCCGTCCATCCCCCCCCTGCACAATTGCCATGATCACTGCATAATCGAAGTAAGTTATAGGTGTTTAGTATCGGGAGTAAGTTGGCCTTAGCTCCGGAGCAGAAGTGTCCCCGTATTCCTTGGCTCAGGACTCGAGCTATTCGGAGCAACTGCGACAACTCCCAACAGACTGCGAACTAAAGGCCATTGTTGTTCGAGCTGAAGTTACTGCTAACCCAGGCTTGTTGGAGCCAGGAAGAGTGATGACCATTGCCTGCCTGCTCAGTGCTGGACCTCTGGCATCAACCCCGGAATAAATCGCGAAACAAACTTTGAGCCCGCTACCCAGCTGGCACCGACTTACGGGGTAAATGCAATTTCTTAGGTAAGAAAAACCCGCCCTGCAACAGCCCTCCCTCGTCTGCTTCCGACGTCCCGCCGCGATTGACTCCACCGACTCCGGACCCTCCTTCTCTGGTGGGCAAATCACTTCCAGGCTCTGGTTGCTCATTCGCGGGTCCTTCGAAAAACAATCGGGCCGATGGTGCGTGTGCCCAGTATCGAACGAGAATACCATGTGAAATGGGCAAATGAAAACACTGCCTTGTTGAAGAGCTGAGTGGGTGAGTTTCTGATTCTCTTACAAGTTACGAGGGCCGAAGTACAGTACGTACGTGTACGAAGTGGTCGACCAGACCTTAAGTCACTCATACATAGTAACACATCGCCCTACCGTGCGGCGGCTGCCGATCCACGCCTGGAATTTTGAATCCGAACATTGGCCACCTACGCCGAGATCGGGTACTGGGCGGTGGTCCTCCAAGCTCATACCATTATTCTCTACACACTTAACGCATATCCATACTCCGAGCTGTGCGAGGTGCCGCAAATAGTAGGGAAATGAAGTCAGTGGTTAGAGACTCCGATGGCTTTCTCTCTCGAAAGGATTCCAGTTCCTTCTTCGCACTGCGCAGTTTTTGAATGCGCATGCATTATGACCAACCTCCTCCGTCTTGATAAAGCATCATCTTCCACGTTGGAAGTGTTCTGCTTCAAGTCGCTGTGTTGCCTTTGTTGGGTTTGGGCCCCAGGCCCCAGGGGTTGATGGACATCGAGTCCCGGGTGGCCAGTCAATGTCTCGGTGTTACCGTGTGGTACGCCCCCCCATGGAAAACTGGGTGGTCCATGGCAAAATCCGTGAGGGGCGCTTGGCTGGTCCCTTGGGTCTGTTGCCTCTGCCCATTGTTTTGAGTCACTTTGTTCGCCAGGGCTGGGAGGCAACGTGAAGATTTTGACAGTTGACCTGTGCTTAAACTGGAACCTTTGAGGACAAAGCCACCAAGAATCTCGATGGAACAAGTACAGTACGGAGTAGTAGAATTTCAGAATTTGGAGATCTGGTAGACCACAGGGGGCTCGAATTGCCGCCGGAGATAAGCCTGCGTGTGTGCTTGCGCGAGCCACCCTGGCCCAGCTGACCCGCGCTCGGCCTCAACTCCGATGGCACCCCCCAAACAGACATAGAGGGAGGTTAAAGCCTCATCGGGCCGGTTAATTACTAGATAACACGCGTTAAAACCAGAGGCGGTGAGGACTGCTGATGAGCGATTCGTTATTAGATGTTGTGAATTTGTGAGTAACCCAAAGTCAGCAGAGTCTTTTATCCGATAGTCAGTAATAAAAGCATGCATGAACAAAAAAGGAACTATAGGAGAGAAGGAGGAAAAAAACGCAATGAAACAACTGTAGACACTAGACATTAGATAGAAAGACTTTGCTCACTTCTTCTCCAACTTCCCACCCACAGTTTCCAGCTGTCACATCTATGATTCACACTCCAGATTCAGCATACTTACTGATCGATCAACCACTGTTTGGGCTTTGGAGCATTTCTCCCCCGTTATTTTTGTCTGGCCTCCCCGTCTCCACTCACTTTTCTTATCCCCAGCCCCTTCTTCCTCCGACTTCTCCCTCCACCACCTGGGTTGATCACCCTCTTGCCGTTCAGTTTCTTTGTTGTCTTAGTCGGCGCATTCTCTCTTTTGGGATTTGAATCGATTGTTCTTGGTTTCACTTCTGTCTCTTTTGCATTTCACAATGACCAGCGTGAAGGACGCAGTCAAGGAGTCCTTGGTCGGCAGCTCCTCGGAGCCTCAGCCGTCGCAGCAGATCAAGAGTCATTTCCTGCGCCATTCACGCAAAGATGAGGCATCAGGAGATCTTTACATGTCGGAGGATGACTTTATCGACGCGATCGCTCCCAAGCACGAGGACTATGTAAGTGAACCAAATCTCGCGGCGCATTCTGTTTGTTGCGAGCCGTCGCTCTATGTGTCATACGACTACCCGTGATTCGACTTGTGGCTAATTGACGGATTTTCTTCGTGAAACCACAGCACAAGATTAAACGCGAACACTATGGGATCTTGTTTCTCGTTGCCGACAGGCGGAGAACTGGAAAGCTCACTCTCGCCGATTGGGCTACCTTCGAGAACCTCCTGGGCAAACCGGACGCCGAGTATGAAATCGCCTTCCGCCTCTTTGACACAGAAGGAACTGGCTCGGTGAAATGGGAAAACTTCCAGCAATTGTACAACCTGAACAAGACTAGCGACAGCATACCTTTCGATTGGAATTCAGAATGGGCCTCCCTGTACACCGGGCGGACAAAGACCAGACATGATATGACGTATCCCCAGTTCGCTCAGATGCTTCGCGGTCTGCAGGGCGAGCGCATCAGACAGGCCTTCCACGTGTTTGACAAGGATGGTGATGGTTATATTGAACCCGAGGACTTCCAGCGTATCATTCTTGAGACGTCGAAACACAAGCTGTCCGACTATGTTCTCGAGAATCTCCCCAGTTTGTGCAACATCTCGACTGGCACAAAGATCTCCTATGCTACTGTCCGTGCTTTCCAGAACATCATGCGCGAAATGGACATGATTGATGTCATTGTCCGCGAAGCGACCAAGAAGAGCACGGATGGCAAGATCACGCGCGCTGATTTTCTTAACGAGGCTGCCCGCGTCACTCGCTTCTCTCTGTTCACTCCAATGGAAGCTGATATCTTGTTCCACTTTGCTGGACTGGACGCGCCTTCGGGACGGCTTTCGCAGAAAGACTTTGCCAAGGTTATTGATGCTTCCTGGCGCATGCCCTTCGCGGTTGCTGGTCAGGCGGCAACTATCGCCTCGGACAAGGCTCATCAGGTGGCTGACAAGACCAAGTCGGTCCTTCATAGCGTGCTCGAGTCTGTGCACCATTTCGCACTCGGCAGTCTTGCGGGTGCCTTCGGTGCCTTGATGGTTTATCCCATTGACTTGGTGAAGACTCGCATGCAGAACCAGCGATCAACCCGTGTGGGAGAGAGACTGTATAATAACTCGATCGACTGTGCCAGGAAAGTTATTCGGAACGAGGGATTCCTCGGACTGTATTCTGGTGTCATCCCTCAACTGATTGGTGTTGCTCCCGAAAAAGCCATCAAACTAACTGTGAATGATCTTGTTCGTGGCCATTTCACCAACAAGGAGAATGGAAAGATCTGGACCGGCCACGAGATCCTGGCCGGTGGTACCGCAGGAGCCTGTCAAGTTGTAAGTTTCGGATCTCCCAGCAAGTAAGCTATATTGATCAGTGGGCTAAACGATTCTTTCTAGATTTTCACCAACCCCCTGGAGATTGTCAAGATTCGTCTTCAAGTTCAGGGTGAAATTGCGAAGTCCGTCGAGGGGGCTCCGCGTCGCTCTGCCCTCTGGATCGTGAAGAACCTGGGTCTGGTTGGTTTGTACAAGGGTGCAAGTGCCTGCCTGCTTCGCGATGGTAAGTGATCCCATGCAGTGCCCTCGGCTTATCCGTCTCCTTCCCAATCCGCTGATGCTGACCTCGACACTGCAGTTCCCTTCTCCGCAATCTACTTCCCGACATACGCTCATCTCAAGTCCGACTTCTTTGGGGAGTCCCAGACCAACAAGCTTGGTGTTCTGCAATTGTTGACTGCCGGTGCCATTGCTGGTATGCCTGCTGCTTATCTCACTACGCCTTGCGATGTCATCAAGACCCGTTTGCAGGTGGAAGCCCGCAAGGGTGAAGTCGGATACACTGGCCTCCGTCATTGCGCTGCCACCGTCTGGAAGGAAGAAGGCTTCAAGGCCTTCTTCAAGGGTGGCCCTGCCCGTATCCTTCGTTCATCCCCGCAGTTTGGTTTCACATTGGCTGCATATGAGGTTCTCCAGAAGTTGCTTCCCATGCCCGGCGATCACGAGGAGGTCTCTCCCACGGGACAAGTCGAACCCGGCGTCGGCCTGACCACTGCCAAGGCACCGCTTCCTTACCTCCGATCCAGGAACGCTCTCAAGTTGATCCTGGACCTCGACGAGAACATCGGCCGCGTTCGGGTCCCCACCGCAGAGCGCTGGCCCAAGTTTCTTCAACAATCCCAGCAACAATAGACACGTATGACCTTTGTTTTACATAGCGATGATTGGCTTTCTCTTTCTAATTTCCCCTTTGTCTTGAATGAAAATAGTGTTTGTTTCCCACCATTCCATTGCAGCCCTTTCCGTTGCCACCGGATCTTTTCTTGGCCTGGTTGGGACAAAGACCACTTCTTGTTGATTTCCCCAAGGCCTATGTCCACACCACTACATGTAACAAAAGCAGATAGACTCGAGAGGAGACTCTTGCTACCAGACCGCCGTTTGGGTATCTAGAATTTTTTCTTATTCACCTCGCCAACTTCTGCAGTCCTTCAGTGATTTCACATCTGTTCAGTTTGTTCCTCTTCCCACATACATAGGTGGGCGTCACATATCGGTGTACAGGTACCTGATTTGGCCATCTCTATCTTGAAGAATCAATCAACTAGAAGTTTCGAGAATACATTCTCATCATACTGCCTCACGGGGATTATCCATTACCGGCTATGGCATTTTGACCACCCGAGTTTACTTGCAACGGGATAAGGGGTATATGGTAAGTTAGATACATGCTTGTCATGACTGCGGACTATAAGTACAGAGAATTTCGCATGACAACAGGTCTCTCTAGCTCGCTGGTGGGACATGTGAGGGTACCCGACCACAAGATTTGTGGTTATGGTGGCATGGGAGTGATATCACGAGGGAAACTCAGCAAAGGAAAACTAAATATCCCTTTCTCGGTCTGTATACATACATAGGTCGTGCGAGATTGACTGTAGGTATGTGTCGAGTGTAAGTGCAGGCGAAAATATCATCAAGGGCTTGTTTATCAAGACACGGATCAAATCTACCCGCATTACAGATGTCAGCCACGGCATAGTTAAACATAGATCATGCACCTACACATCCTTCAACCATGCTGAGAGTGGTTCAAGCAAGCTCTATTGTCACAAGACCACCGTTGCAGAAAACCATGTCATGCCACGGGTGACATGTCGGTGGGCGGGGACCTTGCCTTGCATCAGTCTTTCTATCGACAGAAGCTCTTCAGAAAAAGTTGAGTTTCCGTTTCGTCTCCGAGTTTGCTGCCGGTTCAGCATTCGTAGGAGTCTCAGCAGGTATAACCGGATCCTTTGCGACAGGCTTAACGGCCTCTTCCTTCGCCATCTGAGGGGGTTGAGCGGAGTCGGGTGTGGTGGATTTGCGATGCCACAGAGAGTCTTCATCCTCAATCTCCCGAAGAACTATAGAGCGAACGAACAATCAATCAAGTTAGCCGATGCTGACAACTTCCCTCCCTCGAAGAAGGGAAGAGAACATCAACACAAAAAGTAGTAACCGACCTTCCTCCCACTCGCGCTCCTTGGCCTCGTTGCCCGTTCCCAGAAGCTTCTCCACGTCCACCACCTCCCCATTATTGACCTTCTCGATCACCTCACGCAGGAGCCGGATCTTCGCATCGGTCGACCGGCTGTACGCGGCGTAGTCGTTCTTGAGCGCGATCATGCGGATGGCCTGCGAGCCGATGAGGATGAAGATGATGATGTAGAAGCTGGCGGGGTTCCATTCCCTCGACTTGGGCGTGTAGGGCTTGCCTTTGCCGGTGAAGCGGTTGCGGATGAATGCTGGAATGAACGTGGTCCATACGTCTGCGTGCGCGAACCGGGGGATGAATCGGGAGGCGCCGCTGGAATAACGGCGGCTTTCTAGTAGTAGTTGTGATGAAGGGGACGGCGGGAATCGGATCTGCGCAGCTGGTGGTCTGCGGATGGGGTGGATTCTGGTTGCCGTTCGGAGGGTGAGTCGAGCGGGATGCATATTTATTGAGGCCATGGCTCAGGTAGGATGTGCCTTGCGACAGCGAAATTTTGACAAGGTCAATTCGGTCCAAGTTACTGGGCGATTCCGTTGGAATTCTATCCAAGTCCCGGGTACCATGCGCTCGATGCCCCAGGCCCCCAATTGGGAGTCGGCGGGCACAAAGTCCCCGCTAGTCCTGTTTAGGGATGGTGGAGGGGGTTGTTGCTTGGACAACGCGGGTTTGCTTGGCTTGCCCGTTCGGATGTCATAACCACATCGGACTGAGGGCCTGGCTCGATCTTCCATCTTCGACTGACAGACGCCAATTCCGCGGACAACAGTGTCTGCAGAACACCCCCGATTCCCCCTCCGCCAGCCATGACGGTTGCAACACTTCTTCCTGATTCCACTTTGGAGTCAGTGAAGTTGGCCGTCCGCTCCAGCTCGACATGCTCGACGGCCACCGTGCTATCCCTCCAAACACTCCTCCGCGGGACATCGAAAGCGCCCACAGACGCGGAACCCACCACAGTGAGACGAGCGGCGCGAACAACAAAAGCCTCGACGACGACTACTACTACTACGATTACGGGGACAAAGTCAACGAGGGGGGCAAGGACGAAAGTTTCTGCGGCGGAAGCAGCAATCAACACGGTTGTGGAACACGATGCTGCGCGTATATCGAACCAGGAGAAGCTTGTGCTGGCCACCGAGGTATTCAACACGACACTCAAGACCCTCTCGGAGGCTCTGAAACTCAACTCCAGCACAAAACGAGAGGATTCTCGCGCGTCGACGCCACGCGATTCTGCCTCTCTTACCCGCGGCGTCACGAAATCACCTCGGAAAACGAATGTGACCGCGCTTGAAAATGGTATCCCCGCCGTGGCTGCGTGTGCGGCTACATCGTTAGCCTGCTTGAGGACTCTGAAGAGTGACCAGGTTGATGGGGGCTTGAACATGCAGCTTGAACAGGGTTCTTGTATCCTGGCAGGAAGGCTTCTGTCGCTTGGGCTTAACGACATGGCGTACAAAGAACTGCGAGGTCTAAAGAAGAGAATACAACAAATCCTGGAACTCCAGGACTCGACTGGAAAGAAAGCACCTAGCCGGAAAGGAAGCTCCGCGGAGTCAGAAGAAGAAGCAGTCAAAGAAAAGATGTCTGATCTGCTTAACTTCTCCGCCCCTGGCCAGATGCGACCGTTGCTTGGATTGCTGGTGACTTTTCAGTCGAATGCCCTGCGACTTATCTTAAACGAAAAGAAACCCACAACTATTCAGAACTTGGCCCCTTCGCTACAGCTATCAGATCCCAGCAGCCCAGCGAACATCATCCTAGCCGCCCTCGAGTCTGGAGCGCTGACTGCCGAAAAAGCCGCGATACAACTCCAATTACTGTCCAACACCGTGTTGTCCCTATCCTCCACTACTCAGGCCTCCAGCAAGTTGAAGCCGATGACATCTTTGAGCCTGCAGTTGTTATCCCTCGAAATCCGCTGCATGTCCTGGAAGATCTCGGGACATGTTTGCGATGACGCAAGAGAAATGTGGGATCCGATGGCTCGGTATTTGGCTAGCTTCATTCACCAGAACAAAGGAGTAACCAAGACGGAGTTTGCGACTCTGTACAAGCACATTGTTCGTCTTCAGTCGGCGTTCACTAGCGTTCAGAAAAGGTCAACTGCGAGCGTCAAGGACAATGTGTCTGTCGCAAGGATAGCAGCGATTCTTGGACAGTTTGCCCAAGATGCGGGGTGCTTTGAAGAGGCTCTGAAGCTATTCACCGAGTCCATAGCCCCACTGTTCAATGGTCAATGCCTTGCCTTGGCTACGGTCCGCTGCAAAATCGCTTCTCTCCACTTTCAAGCTATCACGCGTTCGGCCAAATTCACGGCTGCTGCTCTGCCCGGTGTGATCACGGACGCGACGAATGTTCTGTGTCTGTCTCTCAAAGGTAGTTCAAACGATCTTGATGAACTTCTAGTTGAAGCAGCAAAGCTCAAGAAGGCAGCGATGAACTGGTATGGAGATGTGATGTCAAAAGAAAAGAATAAAGGTGAGGGACAGAACGATGTTTGCGCTAAGATCCTTGAATATCTTAACGGGTTTATACGCTTCTTGCGCCGATACATTGGGCGCAAGCCGACAGAAGAAGACCCGAAGGAGATCGAGTCGTTTGACAGACGTGTCGCTGCATCCCACAATATTGCGCTCGCGGCTGTGGACTCTGTCCTCGCGGTCGGAAGATTGTCTATCACGTCCGGCAGGCCCTCATGGGAAGACATTCAGCCGACCTTACTCGACTGCCAGCGACTACTCGTGATAATAGAACCTCAGGGGGAGAAGCAGCCCGGCTCTCCAGTCGTTGAAAGTGTCGGTAATGCATTCGTCAAACTGTCGAATATGTTTTGGTCTCGGTATGTGAAGGAGAAAGAGTCTGGTCAAGGGTATCGTGATCTCTTGCCCATCTTGAAGCAATCCGCGACCTTATTGTCAAATTGCTCGCCTTCGCAACGTGTTGCTGGGTTCGCACCCCTCAAGTATGAGCGACTAGCGCACACATATATGGAAGGGGGATATGCTCGTGAATCAGAACAGGCGTTCCACAAGTCGATCTTCGAACACATACATACTGGCACGCTCGACCAAGTGATCTCATCTACGGTTGGGTGCTTTCCTCACAAAATGTGCCAGGATCCTAAAAGCAATGGATTCATGCTTGGCCGCGTACTGTATGCCCTTCTGAAATTGAACCTCAGATCCAAGAAGTCGAAAACGCACGGCTTCTTTGATGACGACAGCCTGGACCTGAGCCAAAGAGGTCATTTGATGGAGTGGCAACTGGGGGTGTTGGCTGACTTTCCCGCCAATGCTTGCTCCGACGAGGCCTTCCGATCGACTTTTACCTTGCTTATCACTCAGATCTTCAACTTGTACTCCTTCGATACCCAAACCATTCGTCTTCTTCGTGTTGTTCTTACAATTCTTCGTTTCTCTTTGGAACATCCGGGTTTGATGGACTCGAAATTGCTATCGAGTGTCATTGACGTCGGCCTCCTATGCATTGACCAGGAGGACGTCGGCGAGGACTCTGACCTTGGTTCTCTATGGTTACACCTCAAAAACTCGGTTCAACTTACACTAGGCCTCCATGAGGGTAATCTTTCACCTTCAACCCTGGAGTCAGTTCTTTTGTCATGGAGTGCAATGCTGCGAGACTGCGGAGACTTGGAGTCTCTTCTTCTGAAAATCGGCGACCTCGACCACTATCTACTTCAGATGAGGGCGATAGTTGACTACACTGAGATTCACGGACTCTGGAAGCTGCAGCTCTCTGCCCTTGAATTGGTGCTAAAGACCACGGAGCTTCAAGAATCGGGTGATTTTTCTGAAGCAATCATTGTCCTATCACGGCTTGTGCTCCAATACAGTCGACTTGGCTTCTGCACGAAAGCCAGCGCTCTCTTGAAGCGGGCGGAGCAGTATCTCACTCATTCCAATACCACATGCTTGGCGATCTTGTCGTACCGACTAGCACACGTCGGCTACCTCCTCGAAACTGACGATATCAACCAAGCGGCGACCGTGCTCGCCAAAGCCAGAGCTTTGTACGAGAAGTACCAGAAGAAGGAAGATCTGAACAGCTGTTCCACGTTGTCCAAGATTCTCTGGGAGCGGCTTGTTGCTGACGCAGCCTTCATGAGCTCTCGGCTGTCTTTCGCTCAGGGATCGGTCAATGATGCTCTCTTTTTTGCCAAGCTTTCTGTCCGGTTGAATTGCAGAATTTGGGCCAAGATTGAGAAGCTTTCTCAGAAGAAACAAGACAAGATGCTTCAGGCTACCGATAATTCGGAACTCGAGACTGTGGTGGAAGGAATGGCAAAGCTCGAGGTTGCGCAAGCAGCTCCCGTGCCGAATCCTGTCTATTCTCAGGGCGCTCCTTTCTGGCCTCATATTGGCTCCCATCATACCGCTCTGCTGAATTTGGCAAGTCTCTCAGCACACCACGGTCTATTCCAGGATGCTATATATTACGGGGAACAAGCTCTCAAGATCAACAAATCTCTGAATGCGAATGTCCGACTCATAGCATCTCAGGCACAGCTTGGGTCTCACTGGATCTTCGGTGGTCATCTCTCTGAGGGGCAGGAACTGCTGGAGGCAGCGGAGTCTCTTTCCAAGCAACTCGAAAGCAGTGTCGAACTCGTCTCGCTTCAAGTTGGCCTTGCTTCTCTTTACAGGGCACAGGGCCGTTATCTTGACGAGCAGCGTGCTCTTCTCGAGGCTGATCGCTTGATGACTCAAGTGGCTGGTTCTGATGGATTGGATGCCTCCGCTACAATCCCGAATCTTGAAGACCAGATGAAGAAGTTGCAACTCCAGGGAACGGCCAAGAAAACACGTCAACGTGCCGCCACAACAACAACGACAACACGCAGGACTCGCGCAGCGACGGTGTCCGCTTCGAATGCATCCAAGAAAACAGAGACACCAGCCACACAAAGCCAGTCCGAGTCCGAGTCTACTTCCCTTTCGCATTTGAGAAGCGAGATTCTTCGTCAGCAAGCTGCCTGTTTACGCACACTTCGCGACTTTGAGAAAGCATCAATGACCCTCCACAATGCGCGCAAGTTTGCGACGTCTCGGGACAGTCAGATATCTCTGCAGATTGGTGAGAGTGAACATCTGCTTGCGGATGCCATTCGGCATTTTGCCACACATGCAGTTTACTGTGTTCTCCCAGAATCGACCATCTCCCTGCCATCCCTCCAGTCCCCAAGCAAGGTCCCCAGCAAGTCAAGCACTAGTAAGCCAGCATCCACACGGAAGACAAGAGCTCCAGCTCGTACGCCAGCAAGAAGCACGAGGGCTAAATCCGCCAAGCCGACTGAGGACTTCTCCGTAATGTTGTCCAAAGCCGGGGAGAGCCTAAACGCAATCTTTCCCACCGCCACGACAATAGGATCTACTCTTGATAGTCACGCAGCTTCTCGCTTGATGAGCCGTATCTCCATGCTCTCTCATGTTACTGTACCGGAGAGCTCGGGCTTATTGTCTCAGTCTCCAGCAAACATGAACGAAATAGGCCGCATAGGTGCCTTTACGCGTGAACGAGCTGCCATCAGTCTCGATAAGCAGTTAGCAAACTACTGCGACCCTCTCCTTTGGCCAAGTGCTGAAGCAAAGGCCAAGCTTGAAGAGGATCTTTACTCGCGTTTCACAGAGGACTACATCGAGATCCTTCCAGAGAATTGGAATGTTCTTTCTCTGTCCCTTAGTGCTGATTGTACTGAATTTGTTGTATCCAGGCTGCACAAGGGTCGCTCACCCTTCTTGTTGCGACTACCACTCAAACGTGGTTCCGAGGACGATGAGGAAGATCAGTTCACTTTCGAAGATGGGAAGGAAGAAATGAAGGAACTCATCAAGCTGACGAACCAAAGTGCGCATGCCGCTAAGCACCAGAACGACCGCCAATCGAAGAAGGAATGGTGGAAGAACCGTGAAGCCCTGGACCGACGCATGGAGAACCTGCTGCAAAACATTGAGAACGTATGGTTTGGTGGTTTCCGGGGAATCTTCTCTCCAATGCCTCACGAAACCGAATCTTTGGAGAGATTCGCGGCTCTTTTCCAGAATGTCCTAGACAAACACCTACCTTCCCGACAGAAAGGTAGACGCGCCGAGGGCCCACACTTGACACTACACCCGAACGTTCTGGAATTATTCCTGGGTGTCAAGGATCTAGAGAGTCAGGAAGACCCCGAGGAAACCTTGATGGATCTACTTTACTTTGTTGTGGATATTCTGCAGTTCCAAGGGGAACGCAATGCGTACGATGAGATTGACTTCGATATGATGGTCGTGGAGACTCTGGATGCTCTCAGAGGACATCATGATGCCGTGCGCAACGATCACAAGAAGCGGACAATGAATAGCACAGTGCTGGTTCTCGACAAGTCGCTACATATGTTCCCTTGGGAGTCTCTTCCATGTCTTCAGGGTCTTCCTGTGTGCCGTGTGCCATCCTTGGAATGCCTTCGGGATCGGATCCTGCAGTTCCAGACTGACCGCGCGGGTCGCAAACATGAGTTCGGCATCGATAGCAGGAACGGGACGTATATCCTGAACCCCACCGGTGATCTGCAGACAACCCAGGGAACTTTTGAGAAGGAACTCCTCGGGCTAGAACATTGGCAGGGGATCTCCAAGCGGGAGCCGACCGAAGACGAATTCAGGCATGGCTTGGAGACCAAGAGTCTATTCCTCTACTTCGGCCACGGCAGTGGTGCACAGTATATTCGAGGGCGAACCATCAAGCGGCTGGAAAGATGCGCCATCACCTTCCTTATGGGCTGTAGCAGTGGCGCTCTGACGGAAGCGGGGGAGTACGAGCCATACGGGACGCCGATGAACTACCTGCAGGCCGGGAGCCCGGCTTTGGTGGCTACCCTGTGGGATGTGACGGACAAGGATATTGATCGGTTCGCGAAGAGTACCTTTGACAAGTGGGGCCTCCTTGGTGGCGAGAAGGAGGCGGTGGCCTTGGACGAAGCTGTCTGCCAGTCGCGACAAGCTTGCGTTTTGAAGTATTTGAATGGTGCTGCGCCTGTGATTTACGGCATTCCTTCGGTGTTTTTGGAGTAAGCCGATGGGGCACTCGGGACGTGATGGATCGGTGTTGATCTTTTTCAAGTGGTGTTAATTAGCCTATTACCCTTGTCATTGCTAGCGTTCATACATATGATATCATTCTTTCTGAGCTCTGTCTGGTCACTCGATTGTACGGTCAAGATACTGCATCAGATTACCCCAGTCACTGCCTGCGATCTTGCAGGAGTATAAAGAGTCCGTGGGGCCTCTAGAACACGCCCCCAATAGAACGTACATAACAGCGGCCGAACCTGCAAAAGAAAGATAAACATGCACTCTATCTCCAAGTGTAGATTTGCTATCTGGAACGATATGTCATGTCCACAAAGGGGAAATTTTCCCGATGCTCCACCGGCGCCCCTCATTTTCCCCTCATCCGCGGAAAACCAAACCCCTCATCGTCATTCCCTTCCCCTCCTTCCCAGTGCGTCCCTGTTTTTTAATCCTCTTCCTTTCCCCCTCCCTTGCGAGAAGAAGCTCTTCCTCTGCCTCTGACCCAGACATCATCAGAAACCAAGTCCAAAAATGTCCGTCACCACCAAAGCGACCATCGCCTCCTTCGGCGGCAAGCTCCTCAAGCTCAGCCACGCCGCCACCTCCACCCAGTGCGAGATGTCCTTCAACCTCTACCTCCCGCCGCAGGCCTTTCAGACCCCCGCCCAAAAGATCCCCGTCCTGCTGTACCTGTCCGGCCTGACCTGCACAGCGGACAATTGCTCCGAGAAGGGCTTCTTCCAGCACGGCGCCAGCCAGAAGGGCATAGCCGTGCTGTATCCCGACACCAGTCCTCGTACGTGGGGCCCTTGCCTTTGCCCTTGCCCTTGCTCTTTCCAGTGCAACAACCAAAACTACCAGACCCTGCTTGCTGACGGCTCACCCCGGGGGAAAAGGCGGCCTCAATCTCGCCGGCGAAAACGACGCGTGGGACTTCGGCACCGGCGCCGGCTTCTACGTCGACGCCACCAAGGCCCCCTACGACGCCGGCTACAACATGTACACCTACGTCACGGAGGAGTTGCCCGCCGTGGTGTTCGGGGCGTTTCCGGTGTTGGATGCGGAGCGCGTCAGTATTACCGGCCATAGTATGGGGGGGCATGGGGCTTTGACGTTGGTGGGTTTTTTTTTTTTTTTTTTTTTTTCTTACCGTTTACTTATCCCCTGCTTGGGAAGGGAGAGGGCGTTATTTGGGATAAGGGCTGACTGCTAATTTTATGCGTCTGTGTGCGGCTCTAGTTCCTCCGCAACCCCGGTAAATACAAGTCCGTCTCGGCGTTCGCGCCTATCTCGAACCCCATCAACTGTCCCTGGGGCCAGAAGGCGTTTGGGGGCTATTTTGGGGAGGAGCTGCGGGACACCAAGTGGAAGGAGCATGATGCGACGGAGTTGGTGCGGAAGTGGAAGAGTGGGCCGTTGGATGTGTTGATTGATGTTGTATGTTGTTTTCCCTTCCATCATGGTTTTGTGTTGTGGTTGTTCTGGTCTGGGTTAGGCCAGGGAGGGGTGGGGTTTATCTTTTCTGTGGCTTGGGCTAACTTCCACCCGCAACCAGGGCACCGGCGACAACTTCTACAAGCAAGGCCAACTGCTGCCCGAGAACCTGGAGAAGGCCGCCCAGGAGGCCGGCGTCGAGGGCATCAAGGTCCGCTACCAGCCGGACTACGATCACAGTTACTACACGATGGCGACGTTCGCGGACGATCATGTCGAGCATGCTGCCAAGTATTTGTTTGCTTAGTGGGTTCTTTCTTTTCCTTTGTTTGCTTAGTGGGTTCTTTCTTTTCCTTTGTTTGTGTGGTGGGATTTTGGGACTGCGATCTCATGTGTTTCACGGAGGGAAGACTCATGCTGGGGAGGGTTGAGATTGTGTTGTGTTAATGGACTTGTTTCTGATAGGTTTGCGGTTTCGGACTGAAGTGATCGTCGGCCGAGGTCATCTCTTTAAGCATTGGAGAAGGATGGCATATATGGTTTGTAATATGGGCAGGGAGGATCTACGCGGGGATCACGTATATAAATGTTTCAACCGGAGAACCGGAAAGAGCTCACAAAAGAGCAGCAACACCATGAATAAATAAACTGTTTGTCTATAAGAGAGACCACTGCACTACACCCACTTATCCAAAAGTCCTTAAGTGCAGCCTATTCAACCCGCACAACCACCCGATCCACCCCATGCATCTCCTCCGGGAAACGACACCCCGCCAGCTCATGATCCCGCCACATCTCCCGCGGACACTGGTGCCCGCACACACACTTCCGGTTCGTGCACCACAGCCCCTCGCCGCAGACGCTCGTCCGCGAGATGCACCGCAGGTCGTGGAGGTCCTGCGCGCTCGTCAGCCGCCGGCCGTGCGCGTGCGTGCAGCCGTCGCCGTAGCTGCAGTCGTCCTGCAGGTGGTACCGGTTGCAGAGCTTGGCGGCGCGGAGGCGCTCGTAGTTCTCTTTGCTGCTCGCGCGGCGGAGGGGGGCATCGATGCGTTGGTCTTGCGCGTTGAAGTGGGTTTTTGGGAGTGGGGGCGTTGAAGAGAAAGAGGGGGAGATGTCGAAGATTATCTGGGATGATGGGGAGGTTGATGATGATGATGGGCTGGCTGATTGGGAGGTGGGTGTGGTGGCAGAAGATGAGGCCGAGGAGGAGGTGGAGGACGAAAGGGTTATTTGGAGGTTCGCTTTCGCGATGGTAGCATAGTCCCGTAGGGGAGGAGACGGGGATGGCGTGCCGCCGGTGGTTGGTGAAGCAATAGCGGCAACGTTGGCGGAAGCGGTTGCAGCGGCGCTGAACGAGGATGCACGAGCGGGGAGCTTCGCAGCCCGGAATACCGCTGGGAACGTGGTGGTTTGGAGTTCAGTGGCTAGCTGTTCCATCTCCCAAGCGAATGGCGCCCCCTCGACCAGGGTGATGCGGTTGCTCCCTCGATGGGAGCCGAGGAGGCGGGCGTAGCCGTTGTCCGTGGCAGCACAGAATATGATATGGCGGCAGTGGACGTCGAGGATGTCGCGTTCGAAGGTTGCTTTTTCGTTGTCCGCCAGCCAGTCAGATTAGTTGGGCCTTACATGCAGCAGAAGAGGGCAGGTTGGGGGGTTGCATACCTCGGATCTTGACATCGGAGCATTCTTTGCCGTTTCCTGCGTCGATGAAATCACACTGGCTATCTTCCATGTTGAAACCCCGGACGAATGGGTCGAGGGTTTCCGACGAGGACAGCACTCTGGCTTCCCGGTAGACTTTCTCGAGACCGGGCAGGTTGGCGTAGACACACACCCTGTACTGCAGGCCGGGGCTGGCTTGAGGGTCAATGTCCCGGATGTGGCGCTCGACGGACTGGAGTAGCAGTCGTGCAGCTCTGCGGCCGCCGTTGTGGCCTTCTTGGATGAGGGCGTCGTTGAACTAACTGTATTGTTAGCTTATGTAGGTCATTTGAGAGTCGGTTGATGTACATTCATACAGTCCCCATCGACGAGGATAGACACGAAGCTTAGCTTTGCCTGCGTCATTAGTGTCTTCATATAGACCTGCAGTATGTGTGAGTATGTAGGAACAGTACCTGATTGTGTCTCAGATCTGCAATCTCCGTCTTGCATTGAGTAAGTTCTTGAATGAAATGGAACCTCTCATTCTCCAGCTTGGTGCATTCGTTGAGGAGAGCAGAGTGAAGCGTCTCGACCTCGAAGAATAGGTCCTATTGACCATTGCATCGTCAGCGTAGTCTGAAGGACTATAGTAGAGGCTCACTTGTATCAACCTGTTCTTGCAGTCGTCGACTGCCATTACGCTTCCAAACCGCTTCCTCAGCCCCAGGAGATCCATTGGAACCGGTGGTGGGCATAGGACGCTGGTCAACTCTGTATCCATGATCATTGATGTCGGCCAGATACTCTTTGGTATCACCCGCAGCACTCATTCTCAGTCCAGCTTCTTATAGCCTGCCTGGGGTGAGCCATCCATAGAGTCTGTGAGCTGTGAGAAGTGACGGGTTGACCGTATCGTTCCTTGCAGCGATTCGAAGACATTTCTGGCACAGGCGGCGGGGGCGTGACGCAGAACGCAAGACATGATGGGTGAAAATCGAACTATGTCTCCCGGGGTTCATGTCGGTGTGATGAGCGTTGAGCGGCTAACCGGAGAGATGGGTTGGTCTCCGTGTACTGATGGGCAACTGTAAGCGCCAGCGGAGCGGAGAATAGTCACGGGTCCAGCCTTGATCACCTGCATTCTGGCTGTGCCATTGTGGCTAAGCAGGGAGACATGGATCTGCCTTGGTCACACTGGTAATCGCTAGCGATAGGTGTAGTCCTGGGACTGATGCCTATGCAGGAAGTACCCAAGGAGAAGAGCTGCGCTATTGAACGTGCCATTAACTCACTCTTCACTCTCCTCAATTCGACCAAGGTTGCTGTTATGTTTAACACATGCAAAGTCTGAATTCGTCGCTCGTGTTGTCTTTCATGACAAGTATAGAAAATAAAAGCGTCTCGCTAACTTGGCAGGGCCTTGGAAGGCAGCAGTAGAAATTAAAGACAAGCAGGCACAACCCCCCACTTAAGCACCTGCTTGCGCCTCGCCATCTCTGCTCGCCAGTAGAAGTCCACCTTCTCCTCAATCTTCTTCCGCGCGCCCGCCCCAACGTCACCTTCCACTATCTCTCCAGCCGAGCGCACAGCCTCACAATCCCAACAGAAGCAACCCCCGTACGGCTCCCCCGTCGCAGCCTCGTACAACTTTCCAGTCGCATCAAAACCCCCAGTAAGGATTTCCCCCCCAAGCTTATCATCATGATTAATATACCGTCCTGTCCGCTCAAGAATTGACTCTTCGTACATGACCGCACTACACAGATGCGTGTGCCAGACCAAGTCCACATCGAGGGTTGGGACCAGCGTTGTTCCCGGGTGCAGACGGAACAAAGCGACGAAGCGCTCATAGCGCGCGAGTGCCCGGGTGAGCGTTCCATGAAGCGCGGGACTGCGGATCCAGAGGAAGCCATGCATTTTGTCAATGAAGATGGCTTGCCGGAGGATGTTGTCCACCAAGGGGATGTGCTCTGGTGGAGTTAGAGGGGTTATAGCTTCGAGAGTGGTGGATTCATTGCCTGAGAGGGCAGTGAATAGGTCTGGTGCGATGCTCAGCTCGCTGCGAAGCCAGGCTGAGGTCTTGCTTGGGAGAGTGTAGTTCCAGTTGTCGTGAGATAGGGCCTCGTGCTGAGATTGTGTTACAGGGGAGAAGCATTTTTGGTGGGTTGGGAGGTGTCGGTTGGACTTACTATCGCTTTCCAGGGGAATGAGAGGCCGCGGATGTGATCTAGGTGGTTGGTGCCGCAGAACTGGAAAAAGTCGTGTGGGTTGAGCAGGAAGGCATGCCATACCATGAGTATGTCTGCTACCGCATCAGTAGTGATCATTATGTCGTCTGCAACAAAGGAAGGACTCACCAAGGGGGGCAAGAAGGAGAGAACTGTTTCGCTCGAGGTGCCTGGCTTCAAGATGGTGATTCACTGCTCGAACCCATTGCTGAAATCTGGTAACTGCGATTGTTAAAAACCTGTGCCACCTCTCAGAAGGTTCTATGCGTCCAGGAAGTATGGAGTATCTCTTGTGGTTGTGTTTCCGATCCAGAGTTTTTCTCAGCCTGCTCGAGGTAGTAACCCGGATACGAAGAGTATAGAACGCTTCCAACAGCTCAAGATGAATAGCACATTGGCTGATCAAAGAGAGATCGGACCTGTCGCCCTGTTGTATAAAGGACTCCTTGAACAAGCTCGAATGAGGTCTGACTAGCTCATGCGATAGGCTTGATACTCGTGAGGTGCGAGCTGAGTGTCGATGCAGTATGGTCAGGACACTGGAGACATAGGATGGCATTTTCAAATGTCACTGATGCCAACAAACTTAGTCTCTAGCTGAGGAGTATGAGGCTATCCTTCGTTGTAGATATAAGGATGGGTGTTGCGCCCCGCCAAGATCGACAAGGCTGAGCATCGTGGCTGGTGGTCAGATGACTCTCTCATCGGCACCATTCAACTGCCTCGGTCTCATTCCGTCATCATACTACATGCATTTGAAGTATATTTGAATTTGTCTACAAAAGTTCGTCACGCTACTAAGCTTCAAAGAACTTACTCCATAGGGCGTTATCAACCGGCTCCGTCATAGCTTTGACATACCTCTTCGCCTAGCTGCAACCCTCTTCTTCGTTGCGCGAGTGCTCGGAATGATCTTCTCAATCCGCCTCTTTATATAAGCCTTCGCATCATGTCCGTCAAGGCTCAAACTCAGTGGGCCACCGACAGCCCTCAAGGATTTTGATCGCCTGCAGTCGAAAATCCAGTTATGGCCTTGGAAACCGAACGTGGTCGCCACAGGGCACGGCTCCATGCTCCCATTCACGTCCCATTTGAAGCACGGCGCCGGCATCGCAAGGTCTGACGGAATGTAAGGCGAGGCGAGGGCGATCAGCTCATCCATGGTGAAGACCACGTATAGCTGAGCAGCAGCGTGGACAATCCCCTGTGACCCTTGCGCCACATGAAGCAGGCAGACATTTGACACAAAATCTACGGGAATCCCGTCCAATATGTAGCTGCCGCTGGTCGAGCCGCTCGCGGCTCTCCAGACCCGACTCCCGCCTCCAGTGACCAGATAAGACCCGAGGGCGGTCTCAACAGGGTTAGAGCCCGCGGGACCAAAGAGAGGATATGGATCTTGAAGAGCTGGCCCGATGGCGGAGGGGCGTAGGATGAGGAGGGGAAGCCGAGATCCGTACCTCTGGACTAAAAGTCGTTCCATGAGGTATTTGGCTTGTGCATAAGGCCAGGCCCATTGCTTCGTCCAGCTAGTGTTTCCTCTCCTCAAGTGGATTTCGTCCAGCTCTCTCTCGCAGTCGATGTCGTCTTCACCAAACGGCTGAAGGATTTCCGTGATCTCTCCATCGGGCAGAAAGCTGTTGGCGTATGCACTGGACACTTGCACAAATGTGGCGAGCTGTGGGAAGCTTAATGCAAGCTGAGCCAAACCTAGTGCTGGAAGACAATTGTTCTTGCAAGACTCGTGGGCATCTGCAATAAATGAAGTATTGGCCGCTGCGTTGAGTATAACGGTCGTCGTCTTTTGAAGTACAAATAGTTGCCTCACATCCAGGTCTAAGTTCGCGGCGGTGATGTCCCCCTTGATAAATTCCAGTTGATCTGTGCGCATGGCTTCATCGATACATCCGGGCATGTTCTTGCCTAGCTTTGCGATAGTGTCTTTCTCGGAGCTTCGATGGAGGAGAAAGACTTTCTTGACAGGTACCTGATGAATTAGTTTGAATAGAAGGCACCCGCCTAGACCGCCCGTTGCTCCAGTCAGGAGCACAGTTTGTTTCGCGAACCACTCTCGGTAGAAGGCTTCGGTCAATGGTGGTGCATCCGCCATTCTGGGTATTAAATCTTATGAGCCAGAAACTGACAGATGCATCGTACCACACACCATACTGCTGGGCCTCATTCTTATAGTGGTTGCGAAACTCGAAGCCATGTAATCATATTTCGTGATGTCAAGGTTACTCATTTTGCCTCAATGCAAAGCATGCACTGCTTTCGCCACTCCAGGCAGGTCTCATTCCAAGCGATTCTGATTACATGACCATTTGTTGGGCTAGAAGCGTCGGGTTTTCATCACGCAGATAGCGATCACGAATCAATTTGGTCTGTGAGCTCCGTATATTGTAGGATATCAGACTACTCCTGGCCTCACTGGATGAGAATTGCTGCAGTCATTCGGTCCTGGATAATAAGGTTTCCAGTGCCAGCTAATGCTGGAGAAGCTGCCAGTGGTAATCAGCAAGCGCAAACTTATTTCTTGTCCTCGGACCGTGCCAGAGTGAATTTTGAACCTGCATACCCGGTCCGCAGATATATAGTACGGTTTCATTTTCTGTAGCCAAAAGAAACCTAAGGACAGATCCACCGGAGCCCTTGAGATGACAATGGAGTCCGCTCAATTCGCCCTGCGATGACCAGAGCATTCCCTGCTGCTGTGCAACTGATCACATGGTCAGCACTTTAGCTGTTTCATCAGTCGTACTCCATCCGTTCCTCTAGATGAAATCTCCTTGGTACTATCCAGGATTGATATAGTATATCCACCAATGCTCTGAAAGCACGCGCGTCCGCCAGGGTTCGTAGAAAGGATTCATCATCGCCAAGAAGCCAAGACGGATACTGCGTGGATGATCAACGGACTCAATTCCGAGATGGCTCTAAACAGCGGAGTGTACGAGAGAGAAAAAGAGAGTCGAGACTGGCATTGAAACCAAGATGCTGAAGAATCAATCCATGGTGGAGCTCTATGCGACATGGTGTTGGTTGTTGTTCGCTATTTGGAGATGCCAAGGCTGGAAGGTGCATTATCGGCGGTCAACGGGAAGGAGCGGGGAGCGACTCGGGAGCATTTGTGACAATCAAAAGCTTAGATCTCCAGCCACTGTTCGGTGTTTAAGATAACTTTACATTCTACTGTTTCATCATTGGTTTGCAGCACAAGCTGCCCGATTGCAGCCCGGAGCTTTGGGGTTCCGCTGACTAGTCAATGGCAATCCGCGGATTAGAGAACATTGCACAGGCAGTGGACCGGTCGTTCGTTGTTCGTCAGCGTATGATGTCGGCTTCGCCTCAGCCGGGTCACAACTGATGACTGATGGAACTGAGCTCGCCTTGGCTGGGCTGACTGGCTGCCAGTGGCTATCCATCCCATCCATCTTTCTGTTCCTCACTGCGGAACCAACGCCATGGAGCTGTGGTTGATACTGCGGCCAAGAAAGAAGCAATTCCGTCTCCTCTCGCAAGTGCACCGAAATTTAAAGAATTCGGTCGTTACAGTACCATAATATTAGACTGCTACTAAGCGTTTCGAACGACGAGGATGCTGACGCAGCCCCTGCGGTGCAGGGCCCATCCTCCACCAGCTTCTCCTCCATCCCTCTTTCGCCGCGGTCCGTCCGGCTTTGTTCGTCGCCCCTGGGCTTGTTGTTATCATCGGCGATATTTGAACACTTCCACCTCCGCTTCTTGTTCGCCGCGATTGTATCACCATAAGAGCTCCCGTGCTGCCGCCGGTTCCTCATCGACCTTTCCTCCTACTCTTATCGCGTGCCCCAATGCTTCCCTCCGTCCACCTACTCGCCCAACTTTGATTCCGTCCCTCACTGCTGTTGCCTGCTCTACAAGACTACCACCCTCGATCACCCTCCCTTCAATGGCCACCCAAACAAGAGAACACGGTGGCCACCACCATCACCACCACCACCATCATGGCAGTAATGTCTACCTCACGTCAACCGACAAACATGATGCCGGAGTCCGTATCACGCGGATTGGCTTGGTCGCCAACCTGTGCATGGCCATTGGCAAATTTATCGGTGGCTATGTGTTCCATTCCCAGGCCCTCATTGCCGACGCCTACCACGCCCTCACCGATCTGGTCTCGGACATATTGACTCTAGCTACGGTTGCTTGGTCGCTGAAGCCGCCGTCGGAGCGGTTTCCCAACGGCTACGGAAAGATCGAGAGTATTGGAGCTCTGGGTGTGAGCGGGTTGTTGCTGTGCGGCGGCGTCTTTATGGGTCTCAATTCTGGGCAGGTCCTACTACATCAATTTTATCCCGGCATCGCTGAAGCAATTGCGCACGTGGGGGCTTTGGGACATAGCCATTCGCATAGCCATGGGGTGGAAGCATTCGGTCCAAGCATCCATGCTGCTTGGCTGGCTGCTGGATCTATCGTGGTCAAGGAATGGCTTTACCATGCAAGTGAGTACCTTGGGATGTCTTATCAACCGGTTTGAAAGGTGATACTAACGTCCCTTCTTCAAACAGCTATGAAGGTCGCCACGGAGCGCAAGTCGTCAGTCTTGGCCTCCAACGCCGTCCACCACCGAATCGACTCCCTGACCAGCGTTGTTGCTCTTTTTACGATCGGTGGATCCTACATGTTCCAAGACGCTTCCTGGTTGGATCCCGTGGGGGGACTTCTCATCTCACTTATGGTCATAAAAGCTGGATGGGGTAATACCAAGACCTCCCTTCTGGAGTTGGCAGACACCACTGTGGACGACGAGGTGAAGGCTTCGGTGCACAAAGCGGCTACCAAGGCACTATCTCTTTTGAACAGTGGCGAGTCGCTGAGAATCCATGATGTCCAAGGCATGAAGTCGGGTCAGAACTATCTCATGGATGTCGAGGTCGCAATGCCAGGCGCATGGTCCATCAACCGTGCTCGCGAGGTGGAAGAGGCATTGCGCACTGCTGTTGGAGAACGGGTCCGCGGCGTCAAGCGGGTCAAAGTCCGGTTTATTCCTCTTGAGCATCAGGAGCTGACCTTCACTGAAGAATTTATTCCGGCTGAAGTGACTTCGCGGGCGCGCCCGGAGCCGGAGGATGGTGAAGAGCACGAGCACGAGCACGAGCATGACACTCGCAAAAGCCGTTAGATAACGAGGACTTGCTTGTGAGGTTCATGTCCGGTGGCGACGTTTCCGCGCGTGGCCGATGAGATCGTCTGTCGTGCTTCTCTTGGTCGTAACATATCTGGCTTTTGAGCTCCATACCTTTGATACCCAGGATTGGAATTGTTCCTGCTCTCGAAGAGTGCCGGTAGGGTCGATAGAGCCAATATAAGATGAACATAGCGATGACCTTAAGGGGAGACATTATTGTAATTGATATATAAAGCTAAAAAGTTTCTCGATAGATGCTCGTGTATGTACGCTGGGGCATGGGCATGGTTGCATGTTGAAGATCATCTTCAGATACGGAGTGCGCAGTACCCCGAACTTACCCCTCCAAAAGCGGGAGATATGCGGGGGATCGCTTCACCACCTCAGCTGATGGTCTAAGAAGACGTGAACTAAGACTCATGCGTAGAAAGTTCAACGGGCCCTAGAACAATCCGTCACAGTCCGAACTTCACTAGTCCAGGGCTCAGACATGGTCACAATCTTACTCACAAGGTCTGATCTAGACCCCCCATCGTTCTTCCCGTGGACTGAATTAACCGGGTAAATTCCCGGCGGCGGTGGAACCCGGGATAAATTTGACCTCATCGTTGTACGGAAGAACAGCGAATTTATGTTTGAGAAGAGCCGTGCTCGGTAAAATAGACAAGACTTCGGCAGAATCTTGTCATGATTATGGAGACTATGGTGATGTACACAGTAGATAAGGGAGAGAAGAAGTCTTGCCAGATGGCGACGTTGGTCAGCTCTTCTGAATTTCTCCCCCGCTGCGCTGCACACCATAAACAAGTAGCCGGAAGTGGACAAGGTTAGTAGCTCCGTCGATCTTAGCATCGAATGCCCATTGCATCAGCGCCTTTGCCACACTCTACACTCTCTCACTTTACCCCTCTATCGGTTGGTTTCCCCAATTGCTTACAATTAACAGTCTCTTGTTTCTCATACTCTAGGAAGTTTTCCTCAAGGCGTATATATCATTGAGTACTTCATTGTTTCACACCCCTGAAACCCCATCCAACAACACCTACGTCATCACCCCGGACCGCAGCAGTCAAGTGCCATGGCCCAACCCGACAGCCCCCTCTACATCGGCTTCGACCTTTCCACCCAACAACTCAAGGGCCTGGTCGTCAACTCCGATCTCAAGGTCGTTTACGTGTCGAAATTCGACTTTGATGCCGATTCCCGCGGCTTCCCCATCAAGAAGGGCGTCCTCACCAACGAGGCCGAGCATGAGGTCTTTGCACCCGTCGCGCTCTGGCTGCAGGCGCTCGACGGCGTGTTAAATGGACTACGCCAGCAGGGACTGGATTTCCGCCGAGTCAAGGGCATCAGTGGAGCTGGTCAACAGCATGGAAGCGTTTACTGGGGCGAGAACGCGGAGAAGCTGTTGAAGAGTCTAGACGCCAAGAAGACGCTGGAGGAGCAGCTGGACGGCGCGTTCTCGCATCCTTTCAGCCCCAACTGGCAGGACTCGAGTACGCAGAAGGAATGCGATGAGTTCGATGCATACCTGGGTGGACAGGAGGAGCTTGCCGCTGCTACGGGGAGCAAGGCACATCATGTAAGAACCTTTCCTCCTCGGGTTTTCACAAGCCGATCTGTGCGGGGGGGTGACTAACAGTTTGGTTTTCTCTGCTTGTAGCGATTTACTGGTCCTCAGATTCTGCGGTTCCAGCGCAAGTATCCCGAGGTGTACAAGAGAACATTGCGGATTTCGCTGGTCTCCTCGTTCCTAGCGTCGCTGTTCCTGGGCCACATCGCGCCGTTTGATATCTCCGATGTCTGTGGTATGAATCTGTGGAATATCAAGAAGGGAGCCTACGATGAAAAACTCCTGCAGCTGTGTGCAGGACCCTCCGGTGTGGAGGATTTGAAGCGCAAGCTGGGCGATGTTCCTGAAGATGGAGGCATTCATCTGGGCACCATCGATCGATACTATGTCGAGCGCTACGGGTTCAGTCCGGACTGCAACATCATTCCAGCCACGGGCGACAACCCCGCGACGATCCTTGCGCTTCCCTTGCGGCCATCCGATGCGATGGTCTCGCTTGGCACCTCCACCACTTTCCTCATGTCCACACCTAATTACAAGCCCGATCCAGCTACGCATTTCTTCAACCACCCCACCACTCCTGGTCTGTACATGTTTATGCTGTGCTACAAGAACGGAGGGCTCGCACGTGAGCAGGTCCGCGATGCGATCAATGAAAAACTCGGAGAGACCACTGCTTTGACGTGGGCGAATTTCGACAAGATCACGCTCGAGACTCCGTCCATGGGGCAGAAATCCGACTCGGACCCCATGAAACTGGGCCTATTCTTTCCGCGCCCGGAAATCGTGCCAAACCTCCGAGCGGGTCAATGGCGATTCGACTATGACCCGAAGAGTGGCCGTCTGCACCAGACGGAGGAGGGCTGGAACAAGCCCCTGGACGAGGCTCGCGCGATCGTCGAGAGCCAGATGCTCTCCCTGCGCCTGCGGTCGCGCGGACTGACTCAGAGCCCCGGCGGAGGACTCCCTGCTCAACCGCGCCGAGTGTATCTGGTCGGTGGTGGATCGAAGAACAAGGCCATTGCTCAGGTAGCTGGAGAGATTCTTGGTGGTAGTGACGGTGTGTATAAGCTGGAGATCGGTGATAATGCATGTGCGCTGGGAGCTGCATACAAGGCGGTGTGGGCCATGGAGAGAACGACGGGGCAGACATTTGAGGATCTCATTGGGCAGCGGTGGAAGGAGGAGGATTTCATTGAGAAGATTGCGGACGGATATCAGCCGGGCGTGTATGAGCGATACGGCCAGGCTGTGGAGGGATTCGAGAAGATGGAGCTGGAGGTCTTGCGGCAAGAAGGGAAGTACTGAAGCGATTCAATGGAATAATCGTGTAGTGTAGTATGAGATATGGTTCGCTAAGGCTATAGAATAGAGATACAATTACAGCCCAGAGCATGCATCAACAATTCAGCATAGATACCTTATCGTACTAGGGACATGTAGACTTGATAGCTGTGATCAGCTGCAAAAGCGATGTCATTCGGTGCCTGGGGAATCAGGCCGAAGCTGCACGCCGCCCCTTGCCATTTTTGGGCAACGGACCAGCATTCCTTGGGCCACACAAACTCAGGTCAATTTTTTGACTCTTCAGGTTCCTTTCATGTGCATTGCAGTGTGCTCGAGGAACTGACTGGCCGATAAGCGTTTCTTTGAGCATTCAACTATCGCAACTCTTGACTCTCTCCCAAAGACTTCAACTTCTTCATTGTTTCTGCGTTGTCACATTTCTCCCTCGTGACTCTGCCCCGTTAAGGCAGGTTTATTACCCGAGTGACTGGGTCCAAATACCTTTTGACTACTAACGTTAACTAACATACTTGTACTGGGCCCAACCCAACCAACCTCTCCCCCCCCAGTCTGCTAAACTAAACACGCACTAGTCGGTCATGGTTTGATAGTGTCTCCGGGCTATGACTACTCGCCGCCGCATCATTCTGTCCTAAACCACCACCTTCATTGAATCTCTGAACTCCATCCACCCCTCCCCCTCCTTCTCCCCCCCCCCCCCCTCTCTCCCCTCCATTGCTTTCGAGTCGTCGACTCTGAAGGCAGTCAGGCTGGTCGAAGATGGAAGAACAGGTAAGGGCTAATCCCTTTGATCTGCATTTGTTTTTCCACGTTGCGTTTTAACTTAGTCTTCTTTTCGCATCTTACCCGTTTTTCTTTTTTTCTCGAATCCCCACCCCACCATTCCTTCCTTCCCCTCTCCCCTCCATGCTTACCCGTCCAGTCAAGTTCCTCTTTCAGATTCTCGGAATTGATTTCAGGATCCTCGTTCATTGTCATGTTGACTCTCCATTAGGTAGCGAATGCCATTGAAATCGCCTGGAATCCGTCCTCCGACCAAGCCCTCAAGAATCAAGCCTACGAATACCTGAACCAACTTCGCGCCGACCCCTCCGGATGGCAGGTTTGCCTTTCTCTCTTCACCAAAACTCCACAATACTCCGAGATTATACGCCATGTGTCGTTGGAAGTGGTCAACAGTGCGGCCCAGGCCGGTCTCCTTGACCTCCAGGCCCTGGGATATGTTCGGGATGGCTTGATGGCCTACCTTCGACAGGTCTACGGCCAGGAAACCGCCTCTCCGGATCCGCCCAACATTCAGAATAAGATCGCTCAGACCATTACCTTCCTCTTCTCCGCTCTCTACGCGAACGGTTGGGAATCCTGCTTCGACGACCTCCTCAGTCTCACCTTCAAGAGCCCCGCGAGCACGAGTCGCGACAACCCGCTCGGTATCATCTTCTACCTCCGTGTCGTCAATTCGATTCATGAGGAGATCGGAGATGTTCTGGTGTCCCGGTCCCGCACAGAGCAGGACAAGGCCAACCTCCTCAAGGACTTGATTCGGGAGCGCGATATGCAGAAGATCGCCAGCTCCTGGCAAGAGATCTTGTCCGAATGGCGGGACGGCAACGATGTGATTGTGGAGATGTCCCTCAAGGCGGTTGGCAGCTGGGTGAGCTGGATTGATATCGGCCTTGTGGTGAACCAGACCATGATGGACCTGCTGTTCCAGCAGCTCAGCCGTGCGCAAAAGGCGGAACTCAGATCCGGTGAAGAGAAGGTGCGCGATGCGGCGGTTGATGTCTTCACGGAAATCATCGGCAAGAAGATGAAGCCCGAGGATAAGATTGACATGATTATTTTCCTGAATCTCGACACTATTGTTACCCAACTCTCCAATAGCCCCCCTCTCAACGAGAATAGGTTCACCTTCAAGTACGATACCGATCTGGCGGAGACGGTGGCCAAGTTAGTCAATATTACAGTCATTGATATTGTACGGGCCCTGGAGCAGGATACCATCATGGCCGACTGCAAAGAGAAAGCCACTGGTCTGCTGCAGGCCTTCCTTCCGCATATCCTGAGATACTTCTCCGACGAATATGACGAGGTCTGCTCGACTGTGATTCCCTGCGTCAGCGACCTTCTGGCCTACTTGAGGAAGATGGCTAAGGTCAACCCAGCTCTGGCTGCGCAGCACTCCTCCGTCCTGCTACCAATTCTGAAGGCCATCATTGCTAAGATGCGCTACGATGAAACATCGTCTTGGGGAGACGAGGACGACCAGACGGACGAGGCGGAGTTCCAGGAGCTTCGCAAGCGGTTGGGTGTTCTACAGCAGATCATCGCCAACGTGAACGAACAACTATACATCGATGCGGTTTCGGAGGTAGTAGGGACGACCTTTGAGAATTTGCGGCAGTCGGGTGCTCAGCTGGATTGGCGGGACTTGGATTTGGCTCTCCACGAGATGTTCCTGTTTGGAGATATTGCCGTCAAAGCGGGTAGCCTGTACACCAAGGGATCCCCCAACAACGCTGCTGCAGAGCGACTCATTGGAATGATGCTGAAGATGGTCGAGTCCGACATTCGCTCTTTCACACACCCTGCGACGCAGCTGCAGTATATGGAGATTTGCGTCCGCTACAGCTCGTTCTTCCAACACCATACCCATCTGATTCCGAGCGTCTTGGAAAGCTTCCTCCAATTAATCCACCACCCGATTAAGAAGGTGAAGACACGCTCATGGTACCTGTTCCAGCGCATTGTCAAGCAGTTGCGAACCAATGTTGGTAACGTTGCTCAGACCGTGGTTGGGGCCTTGACCGACCTCCTGGTCATCCATGCAGAGGTGCCTTCAGAAGGATCGGACGGAGACGAGATGTCTTCGGAAGACCACGAAGGATCAGCAGACGCTGTGTTCAACAGTCAACTGTATCTTTTCGAGGCTGTGGGCATCATCTGCTCCACTCCCACGGTACCCGCTGATAAGCAAGTTCTTTACGCGCAGTCCGTGTTGAACCCCATCTTCATGGACATGGAGAAGAATTTGGCACCAGCCAAAGCCAACGATGAAAGAGCCGTTTTGCAGATTCACCATGATATCATGGCTCTGGGCACCTTGGCCCGCGGCTTCTCCGACTGGATGCCTGGAACCAGCTCTCCTGCTGCGCTCCCTGCGCCGGAAGTTTCCGAAGCATTCATGCAGGTGTCGGAAGCCACTCTCGTGGCTTTGGAATCGCTCAAGGCCTCGTTCAATGTGCGCACGGCGGCACGATTCGCCTTCTCCAGACTTATTGGCGTTCTTGGGGCGCGCATTCTGCCCCAGCTTCCACGCTGGATCGACGGCCTTCTCACGCAGACATCTTCGCGCGACGAGATGGCCCTGTTCCTTCGGCTGTTAGACCAGGTCATCTTCGGCTTCAAGACCGAAATCACCGGTATTCTAGACACTCTTCTGACACCTTTCTTGCAAAGGGTCTTCTCCGGTATCGCGGATCCGACTACTGGCACCGATGATGAGATCCAGTTGGCGGAGTTGAAACGCGAATATCTCAACTTCCTCTTGGCCGTTCTGAACAACGATCTCGGGGCTGTCATTATCAGTGAGAGTAAGTTATATCTTCTGATTGTCAGCGCGGCCTAGACTAACGACGCAGGGAACCAACCTATGTTTGATACTGTGATTACGACAATCGAGCATTTCGCCAAGGATATTGAGGATTTCACCACCGCCAAGATGGCCTTCTCAGTGCTGTCAAAGATGGGCAGCTCGTGGGGCGGTCCGGACATTGCGCCGGAGGGTTTGAACGGCGCGGCAGGACAGCAGGTAGCTCTGCCCGGCTTCGGCCAGTTCATGATCAGCCGGCTGTCACCGCTGTGCTGGGCACTGCCCGCGACACCATCATTCAACTCGAAGGATGCACAGGCTAAACAGGTCCTTGCGGAAGCGGGTGCGCTTCAGCGGACCATCTACGCCAAGACTGGCATGGAATATCTGGAGTATCTCCGGACTCAGGAGTTGCCAGGCATGGGCATGGGAGCAGATCTCGTGGAAGAGTTCGTGGGGGCATTGAGCCGGCTGGACTTAAAGGGATTCCGGCAGTTCTTCCCGGTTCGTATTACTTCTGCACCTGGCTTCAGGCAACGGCTAACGTCCCCTGCAGTCTTTTATCCAGCGATTGAGCGCATGATGCGTGGTCCTTCTATATTAAAATATCCCGTCTTCTCATTTTCCTGTTTCTCGGCCCTTTTGACCCACCCGATCATTCTGTTTCAGTCCTAGATTCCCCCATGGTTTGGTTTGATGACTGATGTGTCTCATGTGATCATTTACACCGAAGCTCCCCCCCCCCCCAAATCCATCACTTATTATCTTATCATATACATCACGGCACGCCGTGAAATCATGCATTCGAAACCATCCCACTTGAACGGTCTGCAAACCCAAGAGCAAGCACGCAAGCAAACATACATAACACGAGCCCAACCTGCGGAATGTGCTGTGAGAATAAACACGCCAAATCGAAGAAGCAAGAAAAAAAGTATATAGTTCAGTTTCAATTCGGCATAAGCATGAGTGGGCGTTCGATCATAATCCTATTCTTCCTTTGACCTGTCATGCGCGAAACGGGTGGTGGACTGCATGCAGTATGCGATAGGCTAGAACAGCATTGACGACGGTTTCGGAATGGAGGTGAAGCTGCTAGTTGTTTACAGAGGGGATGCTAGTGCGTGGATGAGGTGCATTGTTCTTTAGCTTGTCGAGCGGGTAGGTAGGCATATCATTTACTATAGATTTACCCAGGAATGGTTCCATTTCCATGTACTGTAACTTCGTTTGGTGTGGGTAGACTATGTTCTGATATAATATCTGCCTCTGCGGGGCGCTGTACTCCACCAACTGCCTTTCCTCAAACCCCCTCTCAGTTTTAACGCAGGGAAAGACCCTACAGGTGGTCTACGATCTTCTCTAGAAGACCAACCTACAGCACAGCCTCATAACCAGACTACCCACTACGCACCCCCTTCAAAACCGCCCCCATCATCTGCACCAACTGATCCTGCATCTCACAGAAGATACTCACAGTCTAGAACAGTGAAACCAAGCGCAGTCAGCAACGCTCCTCCCCTTTTCCAGATGCACACAAAATAAAGAAACATACCTGCCCAAGCCTCCCCTCACCCTCCCCCCGCCCCTCCCTACTAAACGCAAGCTGATACCCCTCCTCATCATCCTGAAACGCCACCGGAGCGTCGTAGCCGACGGGCGGGCCGGCATCGAAGAGATTAGGGACTGCAGTAGCAGCCGAAGCCGGCAATGCTGCCAGTTGCTGCAACAGCGCCGGCGTGATAGTGATGTGATGCACGCCAGCAAGGCTGAGAATCTCGTCCGTGGACGTCAAGCTGGCGGGGAGAACCTTGGTCTGGCTGCCGATGGCGTGGTAGTACTTTTGGATTATGGGGCAGAGGGGGAGGAGCCTTGCGGGGTCGGTGGATCTATTTCTTATTGTTAGTTGCGGGAGGAAGGGGTTTATGTCTTGGGGGGGAGGGGGTTCTCACCCCGGTTCAAAGTGCACCTTCAACTGGTTCACGTAGGGCGCGACGTAGGTGCATCTGACCTCGGCGGCGAGCGCGGCCTGGGTCCGCGTGAAGAGGGTGGTGGCCAGGGTGCCCACCCCGGAGGCTTCGAGGAGCGCGCAGGCGCGCAGGCCCTCCCAGGTGCTGGGGATTTTAAGGCAGAGGCGCGATTGCGGGAAGGTGGGGTGGAGGTGCTGCGTGAGGTGGATGATACCTTTACTTTTGATTTAATTTGGAGGTGGAGGTCGCCCGGGGGCCGGGGGGGTGCTGTATACATACGCCATGCATTTGTGAAGGTCTTGGTGGTGGAGTAGGAGTAGTATGGGTTGGTTTGGATGTGGATGTGGCCTGTGATGTGCGGGGCGATCTTGAGGGCGAGTTTGATTGTCTACTTCAGAAAAGAGAGAGAAGTGGTTTGGTTAGTTGTGATTATTTAAGCTGTTGTCGTGGATGTATTCTGAAAGGGCTGGTTGGTTACATACTGCGATCTCGACAGCCAATTCCTCGACGGTGGGACCGGGGAATTTGGGTGATAGCTCAATTGCTTCTTTGACGGAGGCGGTGATCAGGTCTTTGTGCTCTGGCTTAGAGAGCTCTCCGAATGCGATTGCCTACCATTGTGAGTATGGTTGGTCTCAGTAAGTAGGAGTTAGGATTTGGGTCTCATCTGCAGCGGACGAGTATACTGTACAGTACCTGGTTGGAAGTGCAATCCTGGAAGGGGCCGAAGGTTTTGGCAACTGATCATGACAGATGGTTAGCTCCACATTCGAAGCGATCTTCCAGAAAGCTGCGCAGACCTTGCTCATCCATTGTATCGCAGTCGACAATGGTCCTCTGGCGGAGAACATCCAGTGCTGTCTGCGGGGTGGTCATTGTGATAAGGATAAGATAACGAGTGCCCGGTGAGTTGGTAGTGGCAGCAGATTGATAGAGCGGTGGGGTAGAATCATGATGGAGAAGGAGAAGAAGAAAAGAATGTGCTTATCAGAAGCAGGCAAGCAAAATGGCCTGATCACCCCGTGGGTGCAGAACAGTACAGGCATTGTCAAACAAAGGAAGCTCGTCGATCTGACATAAGCGCTGCCAACTCTATATAACTTGCCTGTTCGCTTCTTTGTCAAACACGTTGCTTCCAAGTTGCAAGCACGAGGAGCACGTATCTGATCGGCCGGTCAAAATACATTCTAGCTGAAACCATCGAGTATTCGAAAGTTCCGTAATATGGAAGAAGTTCACCGAAAGGACTTTGTCGCCATCACCAGGGCTCTTACTACTCAGCCAGCGTCGTTACCCCCCAACCCATACCGCCGTGTGCGAGCTGAGCTTCTTGCTGCTGTCAAAGACGGGCCATATTCACCACCACAATGCCAGTTCGTGTCATTTGCACCGGCTGCGCAAAACGACCTTCTCAATATGATCGGGACAATAGCTGGCTCGGAGGGTACACCTTATGAGGGGGGCTTGTTCCAGATTTCTCTTTCTATTCCGTTGTTGTATCCGAGTCAGCCACCCACTTGTCGATTTGCGACCAAGATCTGGCATCCTAATGTCAGCCACGATGGCCGGATCTGCTTGAACCTCCTGGATGAGGACTGGAGCAAAGCCCTTTCTATCAGAACGATTCTGATCTCGGTTGCTGCATTGCTCGGGAGCCCTGGACAATTTATAGAAGAGGGAGGGACATCAAGCCCACTGCGACCAGAGGCGGCAGAGATGTGGTTGGAGAACTTGGCAGAGTTTGAGAAAACTGCGCAGGAGTGGACTCGCCGATATGCCATGTCTGTCCGGACCGAGGATTGATTGGTATTACTGAGAAAGAATACGTAGCTGGACCTGGGAGTATGGTGAGGTTCACATCTCCCGCGCCGTGTTTATGTACAATATGAGCAGATAGCGATTCAATCTGTATTGATGGGTTGACATAAAACAAGCAAACAAAGGTCCAAGAAGAATTCGCCAGAGAGAAACCCATTCCTTCCATCCCTGGTCTCAGATTCTACAGTCTTATGTCGCAAAGTCCGGCATGCCAGTTCTCCATTCTCATTCCTAATGCAATCATCTAATTGTAAATGACCCCAAAGTCAGCAATCTTGACTATGAAGGTGAATACCCTATCGCTTTCACTCTTACTTAGTTTGTAAAGATTCAAGACATAGCCATATGGCCCTGCACAAGTACACATCAGTTGGCCTGACAGGAGGACACAGTCATAGCATGACTTGCCATAATTTCCACTAAGAGAAAGGTCAGTCGTGAGATGAGCAACTTAGTTTGGCAAGCAGAGCATAGAAACAGTCTTCTCCAGTTCTATTCCCACTTACTTTGCTTGGCACTATAAGATCCTCTCGTTAGTGTTGCTCATTGTTGGGGGAAGGGAGGAGTTTCTCCTTCGATGTCTGTGGGATTTAAACATACCGCAAGGTTTCCGTTGTCATTGCCGAGGCATTTGTTCAGGTTGATTGAAGTTCTCACCAAATCTCCATTCTTAGCATCACAATCCGCGTACAAGGCAGTTCCCAGCAGGTCGAGGATTGAGCATGTATCCTCGAAGCCACGAAGTGCTTGTACTGCTGTACCAGCACTCGATAGAGTCCACGTAAAAAGAGATAGTCCCCGCATGGCTGAAGCAAAGAACAAAATTGGTTGTAAATGTGCCTTTCCCTCTTTCCCTTTGCCATCTTCAAGAACAGCTACTCTCTGTAGCTGTCCTTCATGGCTGTCGTTTGTGGCTGTTCTTTGTGACTGTCCTTCGTGGCTGTCCTTTACAGCTGTCCTTTACAGTTGTCCTTCGTGGCTGACGACTGGAAAAAACGTGATGAAGCAATGACGACAGATCCGCTTACAAGTACAAGCACCGCATGTCCATGCTATCGTGAGGTTGGGCTTCCACCCCGCACAGATTCAAATCGGTTCCCAGCTTCGCCTTTCTTCAGCAAAGTTCATGCGAGACTACAATTGCCTCGGAACACTTCGTATATAACTAGCTTCTTTGGCGTTGTCTTTAGATCGACGATTGCCAGCCGCTCGCCACGCTAGGAAGTAGCAGAAGCATGATTGTTGACGCCGCCGTCAGAACGGTTGGGCTCATCCTCCTCCTGGGGGGAACGTCGTGGCCAAGCTTGAAAAACATCATGGCTATACTTGATTGTCGTCCGTCGCTCGCGGACGTACTAATTTAAAGCGCTCTTAAGAAGATCCGGCTCGATGTTGCAGTGGGGTTGTATCCCCTTATCAACCAGATACCGCTGTCTCAGCCCTAACAATGCCGATATCTGAATGAGGGCAGTGTCCGGGTTAAGGATTGCTCATGCAAACATCAGCAATTGCTTGACAGTTGGTTTACTGCTTATTTGACTGACTTTCCCCTCAGATCATTAGGTTATTCCAGAGGCCAGTTGTTGTTCTTCTTGAGCCGCTCATCGTGTGTATCCATGATCATGTCAACAGTAGACCACCGGCAAGCGTCACTGCCGCAGGCCGCAAGCCGCAGGACGATGACCAAAGCTCCAGAATCAAAACTCCAGGATCAGAGCTCCAGAACTTCAAGCAGGAGACGATCTAAGCTGTCAACCTTGAATGCCGTTTGACAAGCATCGGCTTGTACACATTGACTACAAAGGCAACCAAGTACCTTTCAACTATAACTACAGCATGTAACCCTGATATGAAACCCTTTCATCTCATTGACGAGAGACAAATGGGCGATTAACGACGGGACAAGTCCTTCTCAGGTATCTCATTGACCTCTGCGGAAGCGACAGAATGCCGAACCAGTGAGGCCCTGCAAACCACGTCAACATCATCCCAGGTGGTAGACAACGTGTGCGGAAGACCCTTGGGAGAAGGAAAGGAAAAGAAAGAGAAAAGAATTGCAAGCACGCACACAAATGAAGAAAAGAGCTCGGCACAAGCGCAGGCGGTGAGGGAATGGAAGATGAATCTTCCGAATGGTAATGCAGCATTGCTCATTGGCCCAGAATTCCCCTCCGGGACTGGTCCCGTGACCTGGAGTCGAACCCGAGGTTGTCCGTCCCGTGATTCCGAACCGCTACGAGAGTCGGGAGTTCGAGGCTACTTTCTTTCCTGGTCGACCACGAACGACGACGACATTCCCTTTTCTGTCCACTGTCCAATCTCCAGTTCCTGCACCACCTGTCAGGTCCCTTCACACGCGTCACAATGCTTTCTCAGAAGGTTGCCCAGCAGTCGCTGCGACGGCGTACGTTCTTACTCCTCGATCCTGCAGCCATGGGGCTCCGCTAACCGATTCGTTTGCAGTCGCCGTCCAGCAGCCCTACGCCCTGCGCTGGTCCTTGATGAACTCCGCCTCGCCTGCCGCCGTTGCTCTTGGAAGAAATGTTCAGATGAGGTGAGTTGTCGCGCCGAAGGATGGACGGACTGTTGCGACGGGCTTCTTTCTCCATTGGGTGGATTTCGCGATCTCGAATTCGACCGCAACCGCGTGAGGCGAAAGCCATGATAGATCCGGCACATGTGGAAATACACAGGGTCGCTAACCTATCTCGTCGGATTAGACAAGCTACCACCAGCACGACCACCTCCGACCCCAACAAGCTCCTTGCTGAGCAGCGTCTGCGCCGCCCCGTCGCTCCCCACCTTTCCATCTACAAGCCCCAGATCACCTGGATCGGCAGTAGTTTGCACCGTATCACCGGTGTCGCCCTGTCTGGCAGTCTCTACCTCTATGCGACTGCCTACCTCGCCTCCCCCATGCTCGGCTGGGACCTCGGCTCTGCCTCCGCCGTTGCCGCCTTCGGTGCCCTCCCTGTCCTCGCCAAGGTCCTCCTCAAGGCTACCATGGCCATGCCTTTCACCTACCACTGCATGAACGGTGTCCGTCACTTGATTTGGGATACCGGTCGCGGTCTCACCAACCCCCAGGTCATCAAGACTGGCTGGACTGTGGTTGGCCTGAGTACGATTAGCGCTCTGATTCTTGCTTTGCTGTGATTTCGCTTGTGCCATACCTTTTGATTCCTGCTCTGTCTAAAATGTTCTTCTTGCAATATATATTCCATAGCCAGTCAATGGATGACTGATTGCTTCTTTTTTTTTTTCTATTGGAAAAACCCGGTGTCTTACTTCTTCGGAAGCGGCCGTGTACCATTTCGTAGGGCAATTATCGGGCATTGAGCCTCTGTCCTGGATTTGGCATTTGGGAAGTTGATTCATGCAGCATACGAAGACAGCACCCGCAAACAGCGCCACATATTGCTCATGTCACTAACATTGTAGCCAGACTAATCTCATTCTCTAGGACAATTGCAACGATAACTCCAGAAACCCCATCTTCGGTCCAGTCTACAACGATTTCCCCCAACGATTGTCCCCAATGGTGCTCCCCATTTCAATTTCACAATCTCTGATAAACACAAGCTTCATGCCGATGATTTTCTTTTCCCGCCCTTGATGCTTGGTCGGCCGCAATCCTAGCCACAAAAGTCTGTTACATAGTTAGAGCCTATGCTTCTATGTCTTTGGCTCTCAAGGTGCGCAACTGCATGTCTTTCGCGGAATATGCACGCTCGAGCGGGAAGAATGGCCTTACCTATACAGGAATTCCTTGTTGGTCCAATGACCATCGATCGTCATGGTCTGTGGTTTCATGCCGGACTCGGAGGAGGGTTGGGAGGGAAAGGTTGAGGTGAAGGCGGATCATGGACCGAACAGTTACTCAGAGGAATCCCCTCTCTGTTGATCTCAACTGGAAGAAGGTCCAAGCCTGACCAAACTTCGGAACGGAAGTTGTACATTGTCCAAAAGGACATGCTGACCTGAAGAATCGAGCCGGATGGGCAGACTGCGGAATAGCTCGGGGTATTTTCGTAGTCCGGAGAGGGAGGATGATTTCAGGTTGCTTGACACCGCTGACAAACAGAGGGGAGATCAATTGACTGGAGGAGCTGGTTGAGGTATAAGACAAAGGCGATTTCAACGCATGCACATACATACAAGATTGTCTGATGAGAAGTCACTGCAAAGCGAGCCACAACCTTCCCTTTATATACTGGCAATTCTGAAGTCCAGAGACCGGGTCGAAATGGGCGCTGGGCCGGGTCGTACACCGCTATACTGTTCGACTTCCGTCTCCACGGCAAGAGGCCGCGTGGGGGGATATGACATTTCCAATGACCTTAACGCTGATCACTCCGCCAACGTTGATAGATCTCGATGAGTCTTCCGTCTTGTCTGCAAGGGACCGACGGGAATGAGTCTCGTCTAAAGATGTCGGACAGTGTGCTTGCAGCCGCGTGTCTTGCTTCATGACTACAAGATAATACCTTAGACACATTCGAGAAGGAGAACAGAAGACTACGATAAGCCAAACATACTCGCAGACTGTTCAATCATGGCCACGCTGTGTGAACTAACAAGCATCGAAACTTCCTTACATCTTTGACTATCGCAAACCATATTACCTCAGATCTTAGAACCTGAGCCAGAAATGGAGGCTGATATTTTCTGCTTGCTCTCCATATCTAAGGGCCGAGGGTCGATGCGCACACCTAGCGAACAGACCCTGGAACGTAGACGCCAGATGGACGTTTTACGATCTTCCATCCTCTAAGGCGATTCCGGCAGCTTGGCCCGAATCGTGGCTTCAGGATTCCCGGGGAATTGGGGGGAGGGTGCGTTTGCCTTTGCATAGACGGGATCCCAGGAAGTTTGCTTCGATACAGGGATTCTGGAGAGCTTCCATCTGTGCAAACAACCGGCCAATGGGGGAAGATGAAAATGTGCCCAGCAATAATGCACTCATCGATCATCAGCTTACCGTAAATGCTAAATCTGAAGCACCTGGCAAGCCGTTACTACTGACTCGCTCTATTTCGTACACCTTGTTCACAATTTACCCCTACTCGTCTTCCTTCGGATTGCTCATTTTCGCACCACCGAGGCAGGTCTTTATCGGATCTTTCCAGTCAGGCTTGATTTCTAGGAGCGGTCTGCAAACGGCATGGTCGCAGTTTCGGGTATATGGATATCACTGTACAACGCAGGCCTCTTGGATGCCATGTCTATCGTCGGAAGCACGTGGACAGATTCCTGAGCTCGAATCCAAAGCACCCGGAATCGAAGCAACCCTGACCCCAAGTATCAGCGAATTGCCTGGCCAAGCTCTTCTTCCTAAACGGCTCATGCATGAGGCCGTCTCTAGTGATGTCTCAAGTCTTCCTCCCGACGGCTTCTGACGGAATAGCTGCTCAGAGTCGGGTAGAAGGCAGTCAGCGGCCCCGGGGTATCCTACACCTTCCAAGCCAAGGTATTCTGTAGTAACAGGTTTGCTCTGACTTCCTACTGTCTACTTTACGGGGGAATGCAATTGGATCTTGGTTCCCCGCAGAGCGGTGTTGTCCGGAAAATGGGGTCCAATACAAGGAATTACGCCTTGGGCGGTTCTCGTTTTGGGTTGGCTCAAGAGGTTTCGGGGGCTTTGAGAAGCACTCATCTCCTCTTCGCCTTGCTTGTAATCGATATCACCTGCCAATGCAACACTGGCCCGTTGGAGCGAGAACCTCCCGGCCGGTGCTGTACGTCCCTGTCAATAACAACATTGAAATATGCTGTCCCCGAGGGCGACTGGTATCACCTTGCTTCACAATCTTGGCAGTCAGATAAGCCGAAGCTCTTTACCGCTGGTCTGTTTGCATCAGCCGAGCCTGTCTGAAGTGATAAATCACGACTTTATGCAGAAGCCG